TGTATTTTCATACTCACAAATGGAGTTTCAAAGGAAATGAAACTGAGGGCAGAGCTGATAAGTCACCTTGATGCAAGAAGAAGGGCCGAGGCATCTAGCAACTACAAAAGCCAATTTCTAGCCAATATGAGGTAGAATCGAGATTTCATTACACACCAATCACATTAATTCCATGTTTAGTTACAAGCCCACGCTATCTTGGCCTAGGCAGTAACCCTGCCCCCATGCGCCCGAGTTTGATCCCCCTCTCTATAGTTAGAGTAGTTTAAAATATTGCCTTGTGGGCAAATTCAACTGTATGTCACTTTGTTGTATTGCAGTCATGAACTGAGGACGCCAATGGCGGCAGTGATTGGGCTGCTGGACATTCTGATCAGTGATGATTGCCTTACAAATGAACAATACTCCACAGTTACTCAGATCAGAAAATGCTCGACCGCTCTACTTCGGCTTCTCAACAACATATTGGATCTCAGCAAGGTGAGACATAAAGACATCGCACCGTTTAACCATAAAAGAAACTAATGACTGGCTAATATGAAAGAAAAAATTGATGCTGGAATATGTTGCAGGTTGAATCTGGAAAACTGGTGTTGGAAGAAGCCGAGTTTGATCTGGGAAGAGAACTCGAGGGGCTGTTCGACATGTTCTCCGTGCAGTGCAATAAGTACAATGTGGAGACTGTTTTAGATCTCTCTGGTATTACTTAAACAGAAATGCTTAGTATTTGATTACCAGTCATTCTATTTTTTTCGTGAAAATTTTATTTGATCGATCTTTTATTTTTCAGATGATATGCCGAAATTAGTTCGAGGGGACTCTGCAAGAGTTGTTCAAATATTTGCTAATCTAATCAGCAACTCTATCAAGTTCACTACATGTAAGTAAAACTTCCATACTATACCGATTTTGCTTAGCTCTGTTTTATACAACTTTTGTTGTATTTTGTATGAAGAATTGCGACAAATGTTTGCAGCGGGTCACGTTATACTTAGAGGATCATGTGAGAACTTGAACACTTCCGGTGCCACCAGAAGAGTCCTTCTTGATCCGAAAAATTTGCCACCGTCTCATAAGGCAAAGCTGAAGCAAGGCAACCATGTTAAAAATGCTCCCAAGAAAGACAATAACAAAATGGTTCTTTGGTTCGAAGTTGATGACACTGGTTGCGGTATGCAACGGAGAACCTTATTTCAAGCACACACAAAAACTCACTCGGAAAACGTTTTTTCCCATAAAAACTTGCGTCATTTATCTGTTTACTATATTTTCCAGGAATTGATCCGAGTAAATGGGAATCTGTTTTTGAAAGCTTTGAGCAAGCTGATCCCTCAACAACTCGAACGTAAGTAAATCAAGCAACTTCCACTGTCCTGTGGTTTTTCCCGGCATGCTTATCTCTGTTATCTTGTTTTTCAGACATGGTGGAACTGGACTTGGACTGTGCATTGTTCGAACATTGGTGAGTTAACAATTTCTAAGTATGTAGAGTAGTCATGAATGTCAAAGTAAATTACATTTCATAATCACATTCCACGAACACCTAAACACAAAGATTATCCGAGTTTTGTGTAAGTTATGAACTTTGAACAATCAAATTATCAACTGCAAGCTTGAAAATTTTCCAGTTGTAATCAGTTTTCACTCGGACATGCAACAATGTTATGCTATTCTGCATCTTCTTCATGTTTCCTCTTTACTCGTCAAATAATTGTATACCGGCGATGGTAGGTTAACAAGATGGGTGGAGAAATCAAGGTTGTGAAGAAGGACGGGCAGGGTACTTTAATGCAATTTTACTTGGTTCTCAATACGCCTGCAGATGGCACGGAGCAACATTGTCAAGTAGATTTTGCAAAGCAAAATGTAGTGGTAAGTTAACTTTCTTTTCGATTTTCAGGTTATCCGAAACCAGAAACTGAGACGTTTATATGGATTTCTTGTACTTATGTACTAATAATGATTGAATGTGAATGCAGGTGCTCCTTGCACTACACGGCAGCATGGGGAGACTGATTATGTCCCAGTGGTTACGGAAAAATGGAGTGTTCACTTTGGCAACATCTGAGTGGAATGAACTGACACAAATTCTTCGAGAACTCTTCCATAGCAGGAATTCATCTCTTAAAAACAGCTTTGAAACACAGTATTCGCTGAGTGAATCTCTGAGAGGTGAAATACGAAACACATATGACATGAGGAACCCAGCTTTTCTCATGGTTGTTGATATAGGGCTGCTTGACTTGAGCACAGATATATGGAAGGAACAGCTTAACTTCCTTGACAAGTACTCCGGCAAAGCAAAGTTTGCATGGATACTGAATCATGATACATCCAATGCCGTGAAGATGGAGCTCCGAAGAAAAGGGTATATTTTGATGGTTAATAAACCGCTGTACAAGGCGAAAATGGTTCATATTTTGGAAGCTGTGATGAAAGAGAGAAATCTTGAATCGCAGAGTAGAAATGCAAATGGTTTGAGAACCTACCGCGAAAGAAGGTGACTTGCATGAATGCCTTGAGATTGATTCTACTCACTTCGATGTTGTCTTCAGCTCTGATGATTCTGATATATCTGAAAAGAACAACTCTAATTCTGAAAACACCCTTCATGTCGAAGAAAAGCAAAGAGACGGGATCATGAAACCTAGTTCTTCGCAGTACCAGGAGGTTAACAGCTGCTTAGTTGAACTCACGCACGTGTACGCTCGAAAGACAATAATTCGAGGAAAGAAGACATGGAAGACACAGAACATAAAGTAATGAGCAGTGCTAGTCAAGCATCCCATGCAACAGAACCTCAATGCGAAAACTCAAAATTTCAAGAACAAAGTTCGATCACCAGCAGTTCTAAAGAGAATGGTAGTTCGTATACAAGTAGGGCGATGAATCAACAAAAATCTCTTGAAGGCGTGCGCATTCTTCTTGCAGAAGATACACCGGTACTGCAGAGAGTTGCAACTATAATGCTCGAAAAAATGGGGGCTACTGTGATTGCTGTGGCCGATGGACTGCAGGCAGTAGATGCTCTGAACTGTATGATCACTGCAGAAGATCGTAGAAGCGAATTTCACTCAAAAGACGGAGATACGAATTTGGATAATCAAAGTTGGGGTTTCCGTCCATTCGACTTGATTCTAATGGATTGTCAGGTAAGAATCAGAACTCGAAAAACAATTCATATCTATTTTCTTAAGCTCTTAAAATCTCGTTTTTTCGGCATTACATTATTCATGATGGAAGAATTACATATAGAAAAAGAAAACGGAGTTAACATTTCAAAGGACTAAACCCTACTACTTCCTAAACCCTATACAAATCCGGCGCGCTGTAAATATAACAATTTGTTTCTTAAACATACATCACGTTGTGTCATGATTCATGAAGTTGATGAACTTGTTTGTGTTTATGTGAACCAGATGCCGAAGATGGACGGTTATGAAGCAACGAAAGCAATCAGGAAATCGGAGGAGGGGACGGATTCACACATTCCGATCGTTGCCCTAACGGCTCATGCAATGTCATCAGATGAAGCAAAGTGCTTGGAGGTGGGAATGGATGCTTATTTAACAAAGCCAATTGACTACAAGTTGATGGTGTCTACCATTCTTTCACTCACTAGAACAACAGCCTAATTAACTTTTCAACATATCAGGCAAAAATGTAAGCAAATTTTGGCAAAGTTTGCTTAGGCAGACAGATAACCTGTAAATTAGAGATGTATAATCCACTTGTCCTCCTAAATATGCAGACTAAAATGTCACATATGCCCCAATAGCTTCTTGTGTTTTGCTTGTTTGGCTCTGAGAATATGAGAAGAGCAAGGTCTTCTTTTGCTAAATCCTACCCAACAGAAAGAAAAGAGCATTTTGCAGGCTAATTAGGCCAAAGTTAATTACATTTTGCAGAGTAAGTAGGCCAAAGTTCACCCAAATCTGGCGAAGCTACCTGAGAGGGTACAGGATCAATTCGAAAACCGAACCATGAACCCAATGTGTAAAATCGAACCGAACTAAAATTGGTTGGTTCGGTTTCGGTTTTCGTAATTCGGAAAACAACTCGAACTGAACCGAATTAAAAATATACTAATTTTATTTGTTTATTTATTTATGTTGGGTATTTAATTGTTAAGGTTTTGCGCCAAGGTAAAGCTTTCTAAGAAAAAAAAAATCTGTGTTTTTGCACGACGTTTTTTAAGGCACAAGTTCAGAACCTAGGTTTGGGTCGATATTGTCCACAGTTGCTTAGACTCCATTAATATTTTGTAGTTGATGAAACAATTCCATTACCACATTTGTTCACTTCTGCATAGAAGAAAAGATCTGTGTTCTCTTGACGATGCTGCTTGGTCAATGCAAATACCACATTTGTTCACTTATTTTGCATAGAAGAGATGTCTATTTAAATAGTGCACGCCGCCGCAGTCTGTTTATTATCTATTTAAAAAATATCAAACCGAACCAAACTATCATTTTGAGTTAATTTTCGGTTTTGACAAAAAACCGAACCAGTTGCAACCGAACAAACCTCTTAGACCATGACTTTCCTAAATTTCTCACAGTGCACAACCTTGATTTTGTGAAATTGTATCACTGTACACATTTTGTCTCATTAGATAAAATACTTCATTGAGTTGATGAGTTTACACGGTAACTTTTATAAGGATCTCACGTTTACTATATCATCAGCTTGATGAATAATCAAGCAATCAATCTGATCCAAAACATAAATTAGTATAATTTGAATACCTTATAAAATGAAAAAAAAATTAAGACCCAATGACCAATTTTAAAAATCATCTTAAACCTGAATGGTGCGAAGAATATTTGAAAAGACTTAATTGCTCAGTAAAATTGAGAAAATGAGAATAAAATCTCGGTAAGTACTTACGAATTGTAATAAACTTTTTCTTAACAATTTTTTTTTAATAATAAAGTAAAATGCCCACTTTGCCCCGTGGTGAGAAGGAAAGTTAACAAGTGACTTGTGGCCTAAGTCGAGAATTGCAGAGTATAATCGTCAGTTCGTCAGTCGGAAAGACAGCTCCCCAAAGCAAAAGACACCAGCTCGCACGAAGAAGCCTAGATCAGAAGAAAGAAGACGAAGAAAGAAGCAGCAGTAGAAAGATGGCGAGGTACGACAGAGCCATTACCGTGTTCTCTCCCGACGGTCATCTCTTCCAAGTCGAGTACGCGCTCGAGGCGGTCCGTAAGGGTAACGCCGCCGTCGGCGTCCGCGGCACCGACACCATCGTTCTCGGCGTCGAGAAGAAGTCCACCGCCAAGCTCCAGGACTCCAGGTACCGAGATCACACACACAAAGTGCTTTCTTTGCTTTGATCTAACCGAGGAAAATTGAAGTGGGCTTTAGGGTTAGGGTTTTTGAATCGCATCGATTTCTAATTTTTTTTGGGTTTCAATCGCTGCAATTGGTTGAATGGTGCATTGAATTGAAATTGAAACTAATCGGTAAGTTGTTAATTGGGTCGTTGCTGTTTAAGAAGAACAAAATGTCAATTTTACAGTGGAAATTCCAGTCAAATCAGTGAACAAAAGATTATGTATGTTACTTATTTCTGAAGTATTCGGCAGCCCATTTGTTTAAAATATTGGCAGTCATGCTTGGAAATTCTAATTGAATCCGAAAAATTATTAAAAACGTAGTAGACTATTTCAGGAGACTGCATTACCAAGCCCCTTAGATTTCTGATACAAATATTTAATTTGCTACATTGGATTCTCTACTTAGATATGAATTAAGATAGTTACTGTACAAGTTTTCAAAACAGTATCTAGGATATGCACGGCCTATATGTACATTGGTGTCAATAAGGTTGTATAGATCTATGATCCATGCCTTGGTCATCAAAGGATGTGCCCCTTCAGTATTTGGTGCGATTTTATTTATGATGCTCCTTGCAGACTTACCCTTCGACTGGAACACAAACCACATATCAGTTGTTCATTTCGGATGCAATTCAAATCTTAATCAATTGCCTTTGAACTCTTGTCAAACAAAAATCAATTGCCTTTGAACATTATGAGTAGTTGTTAGGGAAAAGAAAGAGAGAGTGTTGTGGACTGTCTTTCTAACCATATTCTTTCTTCTGCTGCTGTGCAGATCAGTAAGGAAGATTGTGAACCTGGATAATCACATTGCTCTAGCCTGCGCTGGTCTCAAAGCAGATGCTCGTGTGTTGATAAACAAGGCACGGATTGAATGTCAAAGCCACAGGCTTACTGTCGAGGATCCAGTGACTGTTGAGTACATAACGCGTTACATTGCTGGTCTTCAGCAAAAGTACACACAAAGTGGTGGTGTGAGACCATTTGGTCTTTCAACTTTGATTGTCGGATTTGATCCGTACACAGATTCACCATCACTATATCAGACAGATCCTTCTGGGACTTTTTCAGCATGGAAAGCAAATGCAACTGGAAGAAACTCCAATTCGATAAGGGAGTTTCTGGAGAAGAACTACAAAGAAACTTCTGGGCAAGAAACTGTAAAGCTTGCAATCCGGGCTTTGCTTGAGGTAAGTTGTTTGGGCTTCCTTTGTTTGTTGCACATAGTTTTCTGTTCTTTATGACTGATCGCAGAATGTTATTGATGTCCCAAACCCAAATTCAATTCAACGAATTAGTTTAGGACCCATCAGTTAGTTCAGTGTATCAAACTATATGTAAGTTGGGAAAGTTTCTAAATGATAATAATGGGAAGTCAATAAATTTTGTCCATCTGAGGCTATACGATGATTTGAAATGTAATATAATGGTGAATGGGACATGCAAGTGAAAATGCATAGCAATTTTTTTTAGATGCTTGTTCAGTGCATTTGTTCATATATGCAGTAATAGTGCATTCCTTTTGAAAGGGAACAAATGTATACTTGGCTCTCACATGGTAAGTGACAAGTTTGTCAATTTTTTTTCATAGACCTTAAAGCTTGATCATGTTAGAACTGCCACGACTGGCTTATTGCCAGCACTAGAAACGACACAGTGGCTTAGCATGTGAAATTTCACAAAGTAAAACCGTGCCACTTCTTCTGCTCAAAGTGCTTGCGGGTCCAAATAACCAAATAAAATATCTAGTGAGCCATTAAGGCATTAGAGGTGTAGATGTTTTGCATGGCTATCACTTTTACCTTGAGACTAGGGAAGAGAGCATCTCATTTGTTCTTGTGTGTGTCTAAAATCTAATTTGGTAGGTTGTCGAGAGTGGAGGAAAAAACATAGAAGTTGCTGTGATGACAAAGGATCATGGTCTGAAGCAACTTGAAGAAGCTGAAATTGATGCCATTGTTGCTGACATAGAAGCAGAGAAAGCAGCTGCTGAGGCCGCTAAGAAGGGACCACCCAGGGAGACATGATCTTACGTGTTTTCCTTTTGCAACTTTAATTTACCAGTTGTGGTCGATGGACTCCACCTTGCTGTTCTTTTGGAGTTGAACTTTGCACTTGATTTGGTTAAAACTGATCTCTACAGCTTATATCTTCAAATGGATTGAGATTTGCTTATTCAAGTTTGAATTGAGACTGTTTAAATTGTTGTCATTTAACTTTATGATTGATTTCGGCATATATAAGGATTCATCAGCATCGTTTATTTTAGCTGCCGGACAAGAAGGGCCAGTCTGGCTGGCTCTCCGGTGTCTACCATTGAACTCTCGTTTCCAATGGTAACGAAATTGGAAATGTAGCAAACTGATGCGTCAAGATGAGGCTAGAGAGCTAGCCAGCCCTCCATTGCCATCAGAGTTATCAAGACTGTCATTGAAATGAACCAGACGCATTGGCATATTGAGCGTGGCACGTCGTTTGGTTTCATTTTAACGACATTCTTGATAACTTGGTACAATTACCATTTTTGACGACCTTCCTACCATAACTTGAAAGTTTGAAATTAAATTGGAGCGAATGATTCTACAGAGTTAGATTTGATCTCCTTTATAGTGCCATTTGCTCCTAGCTGGTTTAATCTCTGTGACGGAACTGATATGAAACGAGATGCTAAGGTGATTGTGTTTCAGACCAAGAAGTTTGGAAAAGTGGAATGGATGGTGATGCATGATACATTTAGGACAACCGTTGCCTTAATGACCCTCTTCATGAACTTCTCCCTCTTTCCACCTTTGCATCCCCACCAAAATTTGACGGTTCTATACAATCGATGGATTTCGATCCCAGATTTGATGGCTTACTTTTGCTTGTCCAAAAAAAATAAAACAAATAATGACTAAAAAGAAAGGCAAATTGGCCCATGCAGGTCTCGAACCTGCGACCTTCGCGTTATTAGCACGACGCTCTAACCAGCTGAGCTAATAGGCCACTGTGTTCATTCTGAACTAGTTGTTAAATTTAATTATATTATTTTCTCTAACTCTGTTATTAAGGAACCGTGTTCCTTCCTGCTTTCCTTCTCTTTTCCCGGATATTGGAAAAAACGCAGACGCAGAGCTTCCGCCATGAAAGAAGGTTACGAGGTACAGTTTTCCATACTCCAAATTAATTTAATTTTTCTTTTATTTGGAAGAAATTAGTTTCGGTTTAAATTCTGATATTATTATCACGACCTTAATCTGTTCTCTCTTTCAAATCATCACCTTAATCCAACCAAATCAAAATCAAACTTTTATTTACCTACGAACCAAACCAAATCAACTTCTCAAACCTCCCAATATCTACAAATTGGGTGGATTAAAAATCCGGAACTTGTGTTGTGTGTTTAAGGTTGAAATTTTTTATGGTCGATTCGAGAATTTACACAATGGAAGATTGTGCGATTGGGGCGCCCCCTATTCGAATTTTATGGGGAATTTAGTCTGTCAAATTTCATGTTTTATATATTTGTATTTTTCTCGATAATTCGCGATTGCATATGTTACTCCACCTTCACTGTCTTCACGATTAGGCAAGGAACGGGGGGATACGGTGAAATGGCAGCCGGAAACTGTTGAGATTAACACCGGCTTTATGATCGAGTTTGGAAACTCCATGAACATGTAGTCTGTTCTATAAACCTGTAGGTAGATTTCACTTGTCATTGCTTTTGTTGACTGATGTGCATAAATTTGGTGTCTGAACTGAACCCTTGGTACCTTTTCAAGTTCGAATGTCTTGAATGGTTTGTGTACGGCGGGCAGAAAGAGGTTTTTATTGTTTGAATTTGTTACTTTCATTTATGTTTTAGATCAACTGGCTCTTGGTGTTGCAAGTTTGATGAGATGCTTCTTAATTGCCGAAATGACTAATGTGTTCTCCATTGTCTTTGTTTTTGTAGATTGACGAGAAAAAGCAAGCTGCTGCTGATGTATTGTTTAACTATTCAAAATTTGTGATGGCGTGCATTGGAAATCGAGTTCGACCTTGTGACTTGCGGTTGCATCTGATGAAGGTCATCTAGAATTGATTGCTTTAAGTTACTCATTTGCAGTATTAGCAGTTATTTCTATATTGTTCTGACAACCATGTGAAATAAAATGAGGTCCATTGCCCCATTCGACCTGCCCTGTCGGATTCTTTCCCCGTGTTTAGATATGTTAACTTATGTTCTCCTCTTATTCTTCAGGAAGTTTCAGGTATACCAACTTCTCTGAAGAAAGATGCATCCCAGAGAGCAGCATCTCCTGATGCAATGGCCGAATCATCAAGCTCGGGTACAGCTAGACTTGATAAGACAGACAGTTTTCGGGACCGGTTGCTATAGTCTGAACTCTGAAGTAGCGGCTGCCATTTGCTTGATGGTCAAGGCCTTTGGCTATGGCTACCGCACCCTCGTTTCCGGTTGTATGTACTGATTTCATTCTGTTATGGGAGATTTGTAATGTGATGCAGAAGTTCACCTATCCTTCGTACTTTTTCTTTTTTAAGATGCAATATGCTATGACTTGTATTTCACAAAGGAATTGGTAGTGTGTAATAGAAAATTTCAGACTTTAGTTGGAGCTGGGTGTGCTGATCATAATTTGGGCTTGGGTGAACCTGTTTTTCTCTCTTTCTAAGAAACTGGGCCCAGTGGGCCTATGTCCTTCCGGTAGAGATTGAATTGGGCTCATAATTAGGAAAAGTTTTATCCGGGTCGGATCTGGAGCAACATTATATCAAATAACCAAAAAATTTGTTCCTATTTTGTTTATTTATTTTTTTTTTTATGAATCAGTTGATACTCTTAGAAAAGCAAAACTTCAACAAATGGTTAGATATGTTTTTTAGGAGAAAGATAATGTTAGTTGGTTCAATAGGAAATTGTTAAGGAAGGAGAATTTGTGGACATTGAACTTGCACCGGAATGTTTAGAAATGATTTTTTTTGTCATTGCAGTTTTCTTGCAAATGCTTACATTTATAAAACCCAAACAAACGTCTAAAACACCAAGACAAAATTAAACGAGGGTAAAATGGTAAACTAAAAATTTCATAATTCTCTCATTTTTTCACTCTTAGAAAAACAAATAAAAATAACATAATTTTAAAAATGTCACTTGGTACCCGCGTGACCGCGGCTAGAGATCGATTTCATGCAGGTAAATAGTTATGTATATATTGTTGAACTTGAATATGTAATTAAAACTTAAGTGTATCAAAAATTTTAAAATCTAGACGTACAAGCTCACTCATCCACAAAATGAAAAGAAAAATAAAAAATCTCAAAACCCCACCCAAATTTATGTACAAAAAGAAAGAAACCAAACTTTTCTTGCAAAGTTATAATTTTATTTCTTTACGAATTTTGGCACCTCTATTATCACATCTGTCATATTACGGAAGTACCCCCAAAGGACCAACCCCCAAGTAGATCCGAAATTTGGAAATTAAATAAATAAATAAGCAAACTTGGACAACGGTGTGGATACGCGCATACGATCATTTTCCCCTCCATTATACAAACACACCCCCTAACGGCTAGTTAGTAGAACGGTAAACCCCAACGGTCATAATTTCAAATCCCTATATTTTTCTCAAATTACCCCACCAAATCACACCGATTCCTGCACTCTTCCCTTCTCTCTCTCCCTCCATTCTTCTTCTCTCCTCAGAGACTTTCTCTCTCCTAAATCCAAAGCCTTCCACATATCTGCTTCTTCATCTTTTGATTTCGCTTCAATTGTGAGATCAAATCGTTCAAAATTCAAAGATGTTGCAAGATATGTGGAATGCTCCGCCTGGTTTCAGACCCACCAAGTCTGCTCCTTCCTCTCCGGCCAAGCCTCTCGGAATTTCGAGGACTCATTCCGTCGGAACTGAGTCATTTCACGTAACTCACAAAGTTCCGGTAGGCGACACTCCTTATGTCAGAGCCAAGAATGTTCAGGTAAATAAATCCTCTGGGTCCTTTACAAAATTTGGTTTTTAAAACTTGAATTTTTCTGGTTTTGAGTTTTGGGTCGTGTTTTGATTGATGGGTTTTCTGGTTTTTCAATTTCGAAATTTGAATAGCTGGTGGAGAAGGATCCGGAGAAGGCAATCCCGCTGTTTTGGGCAGCCATTAATTCTGGGGACAGAGTGGATAGTGCTTTGAAGGACATGGCGATTGTGATGAAGCAACAGAGCCGGGCAGAAGAAGCGATTGAGGCCATCAAGTCGTTGAGACACCGGTGTTCCGATCAGGCTCAGGAGTCTCTTGACAACATTCTTCTGGATCTTTACAAGGTACTTTTTTTTCGAAAAACCCCGAATAAAATTTCATTAAGTTTTTTAATCTTTACAATTTACTGATAATTTGATTGACTTAATTTTAATAGAGATGTGGGAGATTGGATGACCAAATATCACTTTTGAGGCACAAGTTGTACTTGATTCAAAAAGGGATGGCTTTCAACGGAAAGCGCACGAAAACCGCCAGATCTCAGGGGAAGAAATTCCAGGTCTCTGTGGAACAAGAAGCCACTAGATTACTGGTGAGATTACAATCCAAAACCAAAACAAAGAATTTGTTTTAATTCTACTTCGAAATTACTGGAAGATAGTACTAATTAACTTTATGTGTGTCTCAGGGGAACTTGGGTTGGGCTTTGATGCAGCAGAACAACTACATTGAAGCAGAAGATGCTTATCGCCGAGCACTGACAATTGCGCCAGATAACAACAAGATGTGCAACCTCGGAATCTGCCTAATGAAGCAAGGAAGAATCTCTGAGGCTAAAGAGAATCTCCGCCGCGTTAAGCCGGCAGTTGCAGATGGTCCAAGAGGGACAGATTCCCATCTCAAGGCCTATGAGAGGGCTCAGCAGATGCTCAAAGATCTTGAGTCCGAGATGATGAACAAGGGCGGGGATCGCGTTGAGCAGAGCAGGCTTTTTGATGCAGTTTTTGGGTTCGTCATCGATTTGGCAGCCTCAGCCTTGCAGAGACCACCACCACACAAGTTTGCCAACAACAACAGATTCTGTGAAATCTCAACCCGATGAGTTTGCTGATGAGAATATCAATTCCAACTTTTTTGCAAACCCGAAGATGGGACTTCCTCAGCATAAAACTGTCAATCGAGTCCCTCAACCAAACTCACTTAATGTTGCTGCAAAGCCTTACTTCTCAAAGTCCATTTCAACCGCCCCAACCGCCACTCAATTTGCTGAGACCCTTAAGAGGACAAGGTCCGGGAATGCTGCGACTTCAATGAGAGTGACAGAGGCGATTGAGATCCCTAAACCTGTTGTGGATTTGGTCGTACCAGAGAACAAGACCAGAAGAAGGCTCTCTCTTGAAGAAACAGGGAATGAGTTGACAGGATTGTTGCCCGACAACAAGGACTTCGAAGAGGCTATCATCGCCACGGTCATTGACCCGAAAAATGAGGCTGGGAAGGCGGTTGGAATCAGCAACTGTTCCGGGATGTTTCCGAAGAAGGTTGAGAAGAGGCTCCGGGTTTTTCAGGATATTACACTGTCTCTAAGTCCAAGGGCCTAAACTAACTATAATTGCTTACCTTAATTACCTTAGTTCTTCTAATCCGAGGAGTTAAATAGTGTTCTTTTCGTCTGGAGATGAACTTGTTCTCCCCTTTAATAATCCACTCTGCAGAAGCTGATTACTCTATGTATTCATTCATATAAGCCAAGTCTTTCAACAGAATAACAAAGGCTCATTTTCTTCAAATCTCAATCATTTTTGTTTAAGTTTTCGTACTTCCTGTTGCTATTTTTCACTAAAAACTCGCCACAATGCTTATTTCTATGCAACAATTGCCACGCATTGCTTATAAAATCAAGTTATGGAGAATTTCTGGCTCCTGTAATAGTACATTGTGATGCCAAATTCATGGAGGCTTGGGGCCAGCATTCCCGGATCCTTTGCTGAGACAAACGCGGTTGGCCTTTCTGGCCACGGGGGTGCGTAGTTAGCCTTATAAACATGAAGGATTTAAGGGATTTTTTGGAAATGTATAATGAGTTTGAGCAATAACACCAATTAATTAAGTGTGGAACATAATACATACACGCTTAGGTGACCTAGACTCAGGTTCCGAGTTTTTGTAGTTTCCACTCTAAAATAGTCGTGTAATGAGAAAGATAGAGAGAGACAGGTAAGTGGCTGCCCTAAATGAGGCTCGTCATGTTTTTGATGAAACTTTCGCATTTATCGTACACCAATGCCGCCACTACTGCAGCAGCAATTGTAAGAGTAAGCACCACTTTCGGACGCGGCAAAGGGGGATTAAAGCCTAATTCTGATAGTTTCTTGTGTGATACTGCATAATCTCTGAAGAATGCATCATTATCCTACACATATACATGAACATGGTCAAATTATCACCTATCACAGGCTAGTCTCTACATATTCTACGAATTTCACTACCGCTACATAAGATCTCGTAGAGACTTCCAAACCAAAATTCATCTTATTTACCCTTGCATATAGCTCAACATAGTGACAGAACGCAGGATCCTCCACCAAAGCCTTGTCTGTGGGAAGTTGTTCCGTTTCCCCTTTCAATAGCTCCCTGATCACAGAGTTATACATATCCACGTACGGTTTTATTCGAATCAGATGAACATAGATAACTGCATTCTGCATATAAAAGTAGATAAACCTCTTAGGGAATGTCTTACACGAAGTATGAGTTGTCGAATTTTGTAGGCTCCTTTGTCCAGGGGCCTTCAAAGCCAGATCTCTTATGTGCCTTTCCCTACATAACCAAAGGAAAAAGTTGAATTCTAATTCTTAACACTGTGTAGATTAAAATGAATGACATTTTCTACTTTTACGACGGATGGAGAGAAACTTACCAGTGTATGGCCTCCAGATAATACCACAATGTCCTTGTCAGACAGACCCATCCGATAGAAAACTTCCCTTAAATGTGATGCACCTATTAACAAAATCAAACAAGTGCAGATTTCAAAACCCTTTTACGTTACAAAACTAGATGAACATGGTCGATGACATACCAAGTTTGGCATCTGGAAGGCGGCCTTCGGGTGGAGATTGATTCGAGTCCTGATTGAGAGGTAAAGAAAGGTATTAAAAAAGAATGAGTTGGGTAGGTGATTCTAAACTTCTCCGATACGAGTACCTTTCTACCCGGAACAAAGTCAATGGATGGACCTCCGGTGATCTCCACTGCAACAACCCCAGCAAGCTGTAAGACAAGCCTTTAGCTGTTTAGCTGTTAAAAGCACTTCCATAGAAAGTCCCTTAAACCAATAAAAACATTTGAAAGTAAAAACCTGGTAGAGATCAGCATATGTGATTTTTGGGTGTTTGGCCTTTACTTGTTCTGCAAGTCACAGCAGAATCACAAACAGATTAGAGAACTTAATTGAGAGAAGTGAGATTAAGTGTATGAAATCGAACGCTTACCACATAACTCAACTGCGGTTTCCAATCCCTTATTTCCACTGTGACTTAACTCTTCCTTGTTCCTGATTGAGCCATTAGGCCCTCCAGGTATTCTCGTCTTTGATCTAGCATCGTACGTTGCAGCATCATGCCACCTATCAAAACACAACAATTATACGCGTATCAGAAGTTCGGTAACCTGAAATAGCTGACTTTCGTGTTTGGGTGCTGAGAAAATGCTGGAATGATGGGAACAAGATAACAAATTCGAATGGCCATTTCTTTCTTCACCAGTTTTCTCGAGCAATCCAAGGAAAGTTAATGGAGGAACCAAGTTTAAGGAAAAATGGAGGATGAACAATTACGCTATACGAAGCATTATAGGAGCGCAGTTCTTGCTGTAGATAAGAGCACGAAGGTCTCGGCGAGCCTTCTCAATTTCCTTGAGGTACTCTTCGTTTACTACCGCCGCAGCCATGAGAGCGTGGAAACGTAAACTGCCAACTTTAGTTGCAATTTACAAGGAAGATTTTGCTGCAGGTTATATATGGCGTAGAAGAAGAATCAGAATAAAGGGAAATGATTGACAGGATTGTTTCCCAGGGAAACAAGAAAAGCATTACTTCTTTCTCATGCTATTCGTATTTCTTCATCAAGTTACGCAAACCAAGAAATGAGATCAAGAACTTTGGAAACATGTCAATTATAAGCACTAGTCGAGAATTTTAGAACTTATTACAGCAACGTTTAACTCCCGCTTACAACAAGTATTATTATGTTCGCTGAATCGAAGATACTTCGCTGACTTCTCATGATGATATTATTAGAAAGACAACATTTTCACTTGGCATTTTTACGAACTTCGTATAAGTAACTCAGGATCACCACCGCCGCAGTAACAGCAACTCCCACTGCACTTTGTGCCAATATAGTACTGGTCTTCGCAGCTTCCTTCACACTAGAAGATGGAGTGAATCCTAGCTCTGATAGTTTCTTGTGTGATGCTGCGTAGTCTTTGAAAAATGCATCCTCATCCTGCAAAGGGATTGAGCAGAAAGGCAAGATTTATTTTGTTGATCAACATTTCATCGAAGCTCTCTTAAATTTCCCAGAAATTTCTAATTTACCACAGATGAACGGAATTAATTACCTTTGCATAAAGTTCAACATAGCGGCGGAACTCAGGATCGTCCAGCAAAGCCTTGTCTGTGGGAAGTTTCAACAGCCCCTCCGATTCCCCTTGCAGTAGTTCACTGATCAAGATTCAGGTACAACAACATTAATAGTCAATATGTACTGCACGATCAAACGAAAGTAACTAAAGTAAAAGAAGTTTTAAATTTTAAGGTATCATATTAATTACTTACGTAAAGTATGAATTATCGAACTTCAAGGGCTCATTAGTCCAAGGGCCTTCAAAGCCTGACCTTTCTGGATGTGCTCTACCCTACAGAATCAAAGTAGTATTTGTTATATGTATACTATATATAATGGATGCAAACTTTACACATTGTCGAGTCCATGGAAAAAGCTACCAGTGTATGAGCTCCAGACAGTGCCACAATGTCCTTATCAGACAGACCCATGCGGTAAAAGATGTCCTTCAAGTGCGATGCACCTGCAGCAAAATTGAAAAACCAAACCTCACAACACTAACAACAACTGCAAAAGAAGAAACGTTTTATAGGCATTGGCTGCATACCTTTTTTGGCATCTGGAAGCCGCCCTTCTTCAGGAGACTCCAATGAATCCTGATTCAGCGATAAAAAGGAAGTCAACAACTGCCGTCAACATATTTAATAAATGTGCTGTTAACAACTGCCATGAAGTCAGTGAACACACCTTTCTGCCAGGAACAAACTCAATAGTAGGGCCTCCAGTGACCTCGACAGCAACAACGCCAGCAAGCTAGGATCATAAAACATCGAATTATGAGTTAATCTTAAATCAGATTCTTATACAGAATTAGGCACTTGCTCGTCCAATATGTACAGAAAAAGTAAAAGTCCCATCCAGTAAATGTAATCTAAATGCATCAGCTTATTTCTATCTATCTTCTTTGCTTCACAAGTGCAAACTAAAGCCAATGATTTGCAATGAACAGGGAGAGATTTAAAACAAAACACCTGGTAAAGGTCCGCATACGTGATTTTCGAATATTTGGCTTTCACTTCCTCTGGCATCAAAACAGAACACCAAAAATGTCAGGGTGAAAATTCTAACTGTTTGAAATCTACCATCCAACTTCTGGAGACCGAAAAGTTTCCAATTTCAGACATTCAAACAGTTCAGCAACTCAAAATTGGCCTTAACTCTAAGAAACATAAAAAATCATAATTCAACAGTCAATTGATTACTTAAAAGTTTCAGAAAAAAACTCTCACCGCAGAAATTAACAGCAATTTTCAGACCACTATTCGCACCGTGGCCTAGCTCATGCTCGTTCCTGATCGAGCCATTAGCTCCTCCAGTTTTCGTTTCTGCGTTGTATGTTCCAGCATCATGCCACCTGCATCAATTGATTGTGTTTAACTTCGGAGTAGCAATATTAATAAAGATTAGTAAATAAAACTTCTCTTTCAATATTTCAGTAGCAGAAAATGCACACTCCATAGCTAAGCCTCTGTTTGGTCAAACAGAAAATTCTAAAAAATAACTGACGAATTGATACTTATACACAAATTTAGAACTGCATATCACTATATCAGAAACGAATTTCATTTTCCTTCTTTCTCCCTAGATTTTCTCGGCAACCAAACAGACCACTACACAGACAATTGAGACGCAAAGACGAAAGCGAAAAACGGAGCGCTTACGCCAAACGAAGCATGATCGGAGCGCAGTTCCTGTAGGCGATGAGCGCGCGAAGGTCGCGGCGAGCCTTCTCGACTTCCTTGAGGTACTGCGCGTCTACCACCACTCCTCCCGCCATTAGAGAGCGTCAGCGATCACTGTACGCAACCGAATTACGAAATCGCAGACTCTGCGAAACGAAATGGAACCGAAGGAAATGAAACGAAGGATGGAAGGGAACGATTGGTTCGCTTTTCTTTGGCTGTGTCTGCGTGTGCGGATATTGGATTAGCGGGAGAGAAGCCTGAGCGTTTTTTATTTTTATTTTTTTATCCAACAGAAAAAATAAAAGTCTATTATTTTTACATTTTTATTAGTGAAGGTGTTGAAAGGGCAGCGCGATGAGAGCGCGTGGATCGAACTGCTGGCCTAAAGGAGAGATAAAGTGCAAGCGTTGGCGTAGGAAAATGTGAGGGCGCGTGGGAGTGGATACTTCCTTATCCTTCTTGGGGTTCGGATCAGTCACTGCCATCGTGGAAACGTATTAACGAACCATTTGATTAGTCAACCGAAGGCGTGAGAGAGGGAGGGAATGGGACGATTGCCGTTGAGCTGGGCCCAAAGTTTTGGTCTGGCCCAGTAGGGCTCAAAAGGCCTTCGGAACCTTGATTGTCTTGCATTTATTTTCACTATGCATTAGTTCAACAATATTCAATAGGAATTGTTATTAGCATTCCAAAAATCTGATTCTACACTTCTCACACAAGTGTATTTTTCTTTCTAATTATGAAAATCTTGGAGTGACAAATGAGATTTTTAAAGTGCTAATAACAATTCCCTATTCAATATTGTAACATAATTAAGCTGTTCTTTAACAAGCTGAGAGAATTTTGGCATGGGTGCCACGTAGTTGGACACTTAGGGTTATTCAATAAGAAAATGTCACAGTTTCACAAATGAGGCTAGGGCACACGGTATTTGTGATAGAGATTACTCTATCGAATTTTATGTGACAACACAATATTATCTTATCTTACTGGGGAACAAGCCATTAAAGATGGTTAATGTGGGAACCTTAGAGCTTTTTCGTCTTGCCCATAAATAAAATTTGCGGATCCACCACTACTCTCGTAAGTATATACGTACTTGAGATTTTCTCAATGGTATTGGCATGGGTAATGCATGAAGTGCATATAGAAGTCATTATCTACTACTTTATATCTTTGTGTTGACTTGTGGTTGATTCTCAAGTACATGGTTAAGACGTGGTACCATACCACTAGCACGAGTGAGTCCGTAGAAATTGTTCTGCCGTTCGTCTGCATATATCTAGTTTCAAATTCGATACCAAACAAAAACCCACCAACAAGTTTAAGCCTTGATCCGCGAATTGAGATCAATCAAACCGGAATTTGCAGACTGAGTAATTCAGACCTTTAAATTTAATTCATGCGGTCTCTATTAGTCTATCTTGTTGATCCGACTCATATATAATTATTATTTTCAACGTTTAAGTATTTATCTTTCAAACGATTCAAATTGCTGAATTCGTGAATTTTAGTATGCTTGCTTAATTAGTTAATAATTATTTTCTGGTAAAGAGGATCACGAAGATGCATAATTGCATTGCATCTGAGTGTCAGAGAACTCAGCTTTAGAAAATACCACTCTAAACAGTAAAGACCCATTATCCTAACCTTAGTTTCAAACGATTCAAATTGCTGAATTCGTGAATTTTGATATGCTTGCTTAATTAGTTAATAATTATTTTCTAGTAAAGAGGATCACGAAGATGCATAATTGCATTGCATCTGAGTGTCAGAGAATTCAGCTTTAGAAAATACAACTCTAAAAAGTAAAGACCCATTATCCTAACCTTAGTTTTTGTTTACTACAATTCTTTCTCTCTCTCTCTCTAGCAATCGGTTTTCTTTTCCCAAAAATAAACAAAGACATAGAATACAAAATTGAACTCTCAAAGTGTGATACCCATCTGGAATCTGGTATTCGCATCAAACAAAACCTTTGTTTAGATCATATGGTATTAGAATATACTTAAACGGTGTAATTCTTTATTATAGCAAGAATATTGCTGTCCCTTCACCACTAATTTATTTACTTTTGATCGGTTAAAAATAACTAAATCGATTTGATTTGTTACGTTTGACTGCTGTTCCATCATTTCATGCTTCACCAAGATTCGGGTTTGACTGAATCGTCAGAAAGCTCACCGTCATCTTTCTGTATCTCTTTTCACGTAATACAACATATTACGAGTGAAATTATAAGAAAAATTTTAGCTTAGGCATTCGTATAAAGGCACAAACACAAAGAGGTAAAAACAAATAATGAGTGATATAAAGTAAAGTGCTTTGTGTGCGCGATCAGAAAATCACGTGATGCAGTTATTCGTAATAAATTCCCAAAATAGAGAGAAGAAAAAACCTTAGTAAATATGAGTTGTATACCCAAATCTGTCAGCGTACTCTCAACATCAGTGAGCAAACATAGAAGGAAAAGGAATTTAACTTTATCTGTAATGTGTAAAAATCTCAAACGGACATCATATCCTTAAATTCTTTGGGTATGAAATCTCATATTAGTTTGGCTCAATATTTCAAAAGTTGAAATGAAAAACAGTAGATCAAACGTGAATAGACCAGTTGACCAATATATTCTAGCGTCGCTTTATTGTCAAGATTAAATTTGTCGTAATCCCGTTTAGTGAAAAAAAAATGATACAGAAGTAAATTTTCAGATTTTTTTGCTTTCAATCTAACGAAATAGTAGATGGAATTTACCGATAAGGGTTGATTGGTTAATTTCAAATAGTTCAGAAGATTAATTTATTAAAAAAATAATTTAAGGAGTCAATTTCAACTGCAGTAATAATTCAACGAGTCAAATACCAGTTTACCAGATGATCACGAAGATGCATAATTGCATTGCATCTAAGAGTCAGAGAATTCAGCTTTGGAAAGTAAAGTCTATAAAGTAAAGACCCATTATACAAACCTGAGTTTTTGTTCACCACAATGCTCCACATGCAAGATATTTTGAGTGCGGTTATTATATTGTTACGTGGTGTGTTTTGATCATACTCAAAATATGCAATAGCACATTGCTGAACCGCTTAAAATAAGTCGTTGAAATTGATTTTAAGAAGCGTAAATCTGCTTCGATCAACGCATTATTATTCATGCACACAAATTATAGTGTGACTAATATTTATTTTTTATTTTTTATGAATGTAACCTAACTCTCTCTCTGGCAATCGGTTTTCTTTTCCCACAAAGAAACAAAGAGATAGAATACAAAATTGAACTCCAAAGTTTGATACCATCAGGAATCTGGTATTCGTATCAAACAAAACCTTTGTTTAAATCATATGGTATTAGAATATACTTAACGGTGTAATTCTTTATTCTGGCAAGAATATTGTTGTCCCTTCACTACTAATTTATTTACTTTTGATCGGTTAAAATTTATTAAATCGATTTGATTTGTTATATTTGATTGTTGTTCTATCATTTCATGTTTCACCAAGATTAGGGTTTGACTGACCCGTCAAAAAGCTCGTATCCCTCTTCACGTAATAGGATATATTACGAGTAAAATTAAGAAAGAATTTTCAGCTTAGGCATTCGTATAAAGGCACCAAATACAAAGAGGTGAAAACGGATAGTGAGCGATCTAAAGTAAGGTGTTTTATGTGCATGATGCAGTTATTCGGAATAAATTCTCAAAATAGAGAAGAGAAAAAACCTTAGCAAACATGAGTTGTATACCCAAATTTGTCACCGTACTCTCAACATCAGTGAGCAAACATAGAATGGAAAGGAAAAGGAAACTTTATTTGTAATGTGTAAAAATCTCAAACGGACATCATATCCTTAAATTCTTTGGGTATGAAATCTCATATTAATTTGGCTCAATATTTCAAAAGTCAAAACGAAAAATAGTAGATCAAACATGAACAAACCAGTTGATCAACATATTCTAGCATCGCTTTATTGTCAAGATTAAATTTATCATAAGCTCGTTTATTAAAAAGAAATGACGGGAAGTAACTTTTCAGACTTTTTTTTCTTTCTACTTTTATTCCTATGCTCATTTTTGAATTTTGAATAAAATAAACCAAAAGAAATTAAAACATATGAACACAAATGCGTCGAAAGAGAAAATGCATATGCGGAAATCATTTTAAAATATGAGATGGTATGGTGAATTAAAGTTTGAATTTGTTAGTGCTTCAGTCATAAGTTATGAGTACCATGGCAACCCCAAGAACATAAATGGTGGTAAAAATAACAACAAAAAAAAGCTTTTTTTTTTTTGGTCAATTACAAAAGAAAAGCTTTTGTACCTCTCAAACCTTTGGAAGTTTGGATGCTGACTATTGGAGTAACAGAGACTGACAGTGATAACCAGTGTAAATCCAGACACATGGTGAGGGCATTTTAGTCACTAAATTCAAATATAAACAACATACCCACTGGCTCTGTGCAAAGCCTCGGTGGTCCTTTGTTCCTCAACCACATCCTAGACTTTTCCCTAGATAACTACCAAACTCCGTCTCTACTCTCTAGAGAGAGAAACAACCATCACAGAGGAGAGAGAGACTCAGAGTCTCAGAGACACAAACACACAGAGATCAAAAGCTTCAGAGTTTTCAGATCAAATCCAAGCTTGCAAATGTTGCTTTTCCAACCCAGAAAACCATCCGAGAAGTCAATTAGCAGCTGCTAAAACACTGTAATTTTTGGAGGTCGGTTCAAAATGCGCGGGGAAAAAAAGCACTTTTGAGTTCAGATAGCCTACCATTGATGGAGACATAGCAAGCTTCATCAACAGCCGGAAGAACCCATCTTTTTTTTGTTCCCAAAAAGCCCTTCTTCTGAATTTTCTGTCTTTTTTCTCTGCTGTTTTTAGTAGCAAATCGAGCTGATCAGGAGCAAAAATGGGGTGCTGCTATTCGAGGGTAGAACGGGAAGAAATGGTGTCGAGATGCAGATCGAGAAAGCGGTACATGAAGCAGCTGGTGAAAGCACGGCAAGCTTGGTCGGCGGCTCACACAATGTACCTCCGCTCTCTCCGCAGCACCGGCTCGGCTCTGCTCCAGTTTTCAAATGCCGAAACTACCCTCCACCACCACCTCAACCACAACCACCACAACAATAGTTACCGCTCAGCGCCGCCGCCGCCGCTACAAACCCCGCCTACCCCACAACCACCGCCACCGCCACCTCCACTCAGCTCAAGCTCCGACTCTTGGACAACATCCACCACGCCCTCAACAGCTCTTCCACCTCCTCCTCCGCCGCCGCCGTCGTCTACCTGGGATTTCTGGGACCCATTTGTGGCTTCCTCTTCGAGGGCAGTAACGGAAGAAGGGTGGGAGGCTACGACCACCGCCTCGGAGGCGGTGGTCACCGTCACGGCGGCGAGCACGGCTCCTCCACCGTCTGTAGTGAGTGAGTTTTCCAAAGAGAGCGGCACGACGAGCGAGCTGGCGATGGTAGTGTCGAGAAATGCTAAGGATCTGATTGAGATTATAAAGGAGCTGGATGAGTATTTCCTCAAGGCGGCTAGATGCCGGCGGGCTTCTCTCATCGCTGCTGGAAGTTCCCATATTCTCTTCTTCTCAGACCAAAGGAGGTAAAAGATTTGATTTTTACTGTTGTTTGGAGGGTAAAGTTTTGATATTTTCACTTTTTTTTGGTTTACTTTTATTTAGCCATGTTTGTTTGCTTGATTGGTGAGAAATTTGAGGGAAAAAATTGGAGGAAAGAGAACATTTACTGTTGAGAACTATTCTTGCACTCAAAAAAGTCATCATGCACCACTCGAATTGCATTTTGCTCTATCATGTTTTTCATAAATAATGCCGTAGAAAAACCGGAGTATCAATAACAATTTCCTATTTTTCGTATGTTTATAATCACGAGTGTAATTTGAAACCATCGCTACAAAATAGCCATCCTGCACCAGTCGAAGTGCAATTTCTCCATTTTGTTTTTGTCAACGACAACTCAAGGGCGACATTTTGGAGTGCCAATAACATTCCCTTTACTCTTTGTGCGTTTTAATGCAATAGACGGATTTTCTTTGCAGGTAAAGTTTATGATCATGGGTGTAATTTGAGTCCGTCGCTGTGGACATGGGGAAGTTCAAGTCAAAAGTCTGGAGTATTCGGAAAAATGGGTTGTGACGAGATGGTGCTTAGTCAAGTAGGCAGTGGGGTTGGAGATGAAGGTGTGGTGAGTAGCAGCCATTGTTCTACTGTGGAGAGGCTTTATGCATGGGAAAAGAAACTATACCAGGAGGTCAAGGTAAACTTTTGGTTACCATGTCTTTTGTGGGCTCTTAGTTGAGCTTTTGTCCATGAAACATTCTACCCTTTTTACTTTAGGGTCCCAGAGTAACGCTAGAGTCGCCAACTTATTAAACCAGCTTTTGGATACCAATGTCTGGGCCGACGGTGGACCTTATTTATTCACAAAAATTAAGAAATTGCCACATCAGTTGGTGTCCAAAAGTTGGTGTCTCTAGCATTATTTCCCAAGTATAACTTTGGAATTTTTGGGGTTAAAATTTTTTCAATGAGATTATGCACTGACATTTGATACCGCCACAATGTCATCACCGTTTAATGGAAGTCCTTCTTTGGGCCCAAGAATAACATACGAACGTTTGGGAATTTGAAGGTACACAATAACATCATTCACATCCATGAGTTTTTAAATTTGTTTTAGATGTGTTTTTCTGGTGTGGTTTTAGGATGCAGAGACACTAAAGGTAGAGCATGAGAAGCGGGTGTCAACACTGAAGAAGCTAGAGATGAAGAGGGGAGACTATGTGAAGACAGAGAAGACGAAGAAAGAGGTGGAGAAGTTGGAGTCACAAATGATGGTTTCTTCACAGGCCATTGATACAACTTCTGCTGAAATCATCAACCTTCGGGAGACTGAGCTCTACCCTCAACTCATTGAGCTTGTCAAAGGGTTAGTCTTTCACTTTGCGTATATTTTCATTGCTGCCGTGCATTTTCTTTTCATACCTATCTTACTTTGAACAAACAAAAAAACAGTATCGTATTCTTTTCTGTTACTTTTTTTTTTGGGTGAATATCATTTCCGAATGAAAGTGAAATGATATTGAATATATGGCTATCTTTTTTTACTGCTTTTTATTTGTTGTTTTGTGTCCTTTGTTTGCTTTTCTTTTGAACAATTTACTGATTTGTAAAATGCCATGCAAACTTTTGTTGAGTAGCTATGGTTGCAGACATTATGGTTCTTTTCCTCGTATGAAACTACTCATCTAATATCATGGGGTGTGAAGTTGACAATCTGGATGAAATGATCTGTTTGTTTGAGTTTTGAAAGTGTATTATCATACACTAGTTCCGAAAAGAATTAATTTATAGTTGACGGAATATATTTGCTTTACAGATTGACGTGCATGTGGAGAAGCATGTACGAGTGCCACCAGGTCCAAAAGCATATTGTTCAGCAGCTCAAATACCTCAACACCATACCATCTACCGAACCCACGTCTGAGATTCACCGGCAAGCAACACTGCAGCTCGAGCTTCAAGTCCAGCAATGGCACCTATCATTTTGCAGCCTGGTCAAGGCTCAGCGTGACTATATCCAGTCTCTCACAGGATGGCTCCGTCTTAGCCTTTTCCAGTTTCGGAGACATCCAATAGCAAAGACAAGTCAAGAATCAAGAATTTACACGCTTTGCGAAGAATGGCACCATGCAATTGACCGGATTCCGGACAAAGTAGCATCTGAAGGAATCAAGAGCTTTTTAACCGTAGTTCATGCTATTGTAGTTCAACAAGCAGACGAATACAAGCAAAAACGGAAGTCAGAATCTACTTTTAAAGAGCTTGAGAAGAAGGCAACTGCACTTAGATCGCTGGAGTCCAAGTATGGCCCCTACTCAATGCCTGATTCCTCTAGCAATACTAAGAAGAGCCCAGTTGCTGAGAAGCGAGCAAAGGTGGACATCATTAAGGCAAAAGCGGAAGAGGAGAAGAGCAAGCATGAAAAGTTAGTGAGTGTGACAAGGACCATGACAATAAATAACTTGCAGATGGGGTTTCCACATGTCTTTGAGGCGATGGTCGGGTTTTCAAGTGTGTGTATGCAGGCTTTCGAGCAACTATATAACCAAGCGAAAAGTGCTAATGAGGAGCTTGATGTTAAGAGGTTACTACCTTGAGGGAAAAAATTCAAATTCAGGAAGATTGGCAACATGGTAATCAGTTCTCTCTGTATATCGCGCTTCAGTAAGCTTGATGTTAGATGACAACTATGGGAAAAGACTCAACTTCAAGAGGAATGACAGCAGTGTAATCAGTTTTCATGTATAGATAGACGCACATCCATTCAGTAACCATTAACCGTAGCGGAGGAGACTAGCAGTGGCAGGATTCCCCCTTTCGAAGATAAACTTGACAGTTTACGCAGATTAGGAAAAGAATGCATACAGAAGAGGTTGAGTTTTCGGAATGCAAAAGAGTAAGGAGGATTCGAGTTAGTTTTCTACTCCGTATCTTTGTTCTGTTTTGTCGCGGGAAAGGCGTTCGGAATGTTTTGACTTATCGCTTGTTTAGCTTGTTAGTTGCCTTTTTCTTCTTTTAGGTTGACTGTTTAGTTTAATTTAATTATTCTTAATGAAGGTGTTTTTGGGTTTGTTTACCAGTTTGTATGTTCGAATTTCTATGACAATTTTTATGAACCACAAAATTTCAGGTTCGGAGTCACGGATTTTGAACAAAACGGAACTTCGACGAAATACGCTAAAACCAAGCTGCCGGAGGAATTGTATATACACAAACCAATATTCACATAATACCAGATTAGATAACATAACATTCAGAATTACAAAAACTTAATGCCTATTTTCTAGGAAGTAGCCAATCCAAACTAAGATTATACTTCTCAAGCCGTCGCTATGTTTTACCATTCTTCTATGTCATCATCCGAAATTTCGCTCTCTTCATCGTCCATACTCATCTTTTCGGTATCGCCTTCTTCCTTGTACCCTTGCCCTGCCCTAAATCCAAGCCATTTCAACACAGGTGTGTACTCGGTAGCTATAACTGTCAAATCGGAGGCACCGCACATTCCATTATATGCATCCAATCTCCGTTTCACCATCTCCTTCTGCGATGACACATCACAAGGACACGTTACAATGACAGGTGAAATATGGCTGTTTATGCCGACACAGTTACTCTTACTTGGATATTGTTCATAACCATGGAAATCATCTCCGTATATCATCTATTACATAAGGTTCATAAATTCAACAAAAAGCTGCAGCATGCTTACAGAAAACTAAGCAATCTTAAATTTAAAACCAACCTTGTTAAGCATTGATGATTGCTCAACCTGCCAGAGCTTTGGCCGGCGAACAGCATGCCACCTGCGTACTTGCAACAATTGGTGATATTAACTAAGTTGGCATGAGTACTTGCTCACCACAGTATAACTAACTCAAGAATAAAGAGAATACCTGGAAGGCGATGGATGAAAATTTCCAAAGAGCACACCACGGACAGCAACTGAAGCACCAGATGACTGTAAAACATTATCTGCCTCATACTGTCTACTTCGCATTCCACGGAACGTAGCAAGAAGCAAGTCAGCATCACTTAAGTATGAAGCAATTGTCCATGCATCATCTATTGCCTCCTCGCTTAGGAAATCTAGAACTGCAACAAAATTGTGTCCAAGAGTTGGAAATCAGCAACAGTATACAAAAAAGGTCACCATTTTCACAAAGAAGGACGTTGCAATTTGATCTTTGCATCCATGTTTGGTTGTGTGCATTTGTTTTGCATCTGCATATAAGAAAGACAGTAATGGTGATTACAATCAGGAAAGGACAAGTTATAGGTAAAAAAAGGTCACCATTTTCATGAAGAAAATCGGCAATAGGTCTAGCTTGTCCGTGTGCTTGACAAAGAATCTTTTCTGGAGCATCCATTTTTAGTGGTAGTCTAGACAATCCTTCCCGCACATGAAATGCATCTCCGTCTATAAAACAAGAACGTGGGCTCAGATGTTAACAACTCAAGCAAAATTAAACCCTCCCGGCTGCCAAACTCTGTGTGTGTGTGTGTGCAAACTGCAAAGGCAGACTTCCACACTTCAACAATTCTATATATGTTTGTGTGTGCGTGCGTACAGGATTAAGTTACTCTGCAACTATCTAGAGAGATTCCGGAGGTTTTAAATTGGAAAGACATCAACATGCATGAACCAGAAAATTGAATAAAAAAAAGGTAAAAGCTACATATTACTTTCACCAGAACATACCCAATGTCATGACATTTTCAGTCTCTCTTTTATTATGCAGAAACTTCCCAAGAGCATGGAATAGAGAAAGTGTATCATCTCTGCCAAACTGGAATGAACACCCGCTGTCCAAAGCATTTACCTCATCTGGGTTCTCCTTAACATGCCTGGGCGCAGGACTCAATGAAGACAACAAATTCCTCGGAGTTGGTTTCAGAAAGAAGAATTGTAATGATGTAATTGCATGTCGGATGTCACCGCCACTTGCTTTTGCTATTAGATTGACCTGTTCAGCAGTCACATTACACAGCTCTTCTCTGCATATTCTAGAAAGTACTTTCTTAATGGAATTATCTGTTATAGGATTGAAGGAGACCTGAAAATTTACAAAACCAGTTCACAAATAAGCATTCAGTAATAACCTTGAAAAAAATATATATAAAGATAAATTATCCAAGAAAGTAACCTTACAAGCCCCAACACTTTCAAGAAACGATGGAATTTCTTCTAAGTATCCAGTGGTGTGATCAGCTGAATCAGCTTTACCATAGTCAGTGACCAATATAGCAGTTGGTATCTGGGTAGATTTCACAAGAAGATGCAAGCAGTTTTGAAGTCTTCCAAGGGCAGCTTTACCATTTGTCACCGGAAGGTCATCAATTAAGAGTATAAACGATGATTTTGAACCCTCATTAAGGGATGATGGGATCAATCCATACTTCCTTATTCTCTCCACAAAATTTTCAAATTCATCCAACTTTGACATGTAGCGTATTCCTTGTAACAGATCGGTATATGTCAGTAGCAGCATAGTCTTCATTAGAATACTTCATATTGAAATCATTTATGGACAACTATAATGTGCTGTAATTTGAAGCCAATTTCTACATCATGCCTTATTTTTCAATCCCTTTTTCTACTTTTTTTTTTTCAAATTATACTCATAAATTGGAAGTTACAAGATGTACATTGAAAATTGGAGAATATTCACCTGTAAATTCATGATTATTTTAACCTCCACTTAATTTACAAACCTTCAGCTGTATGATTATGAACATTTAACTTGGCTTTCGCCCTTTGATATTTCATTCACAAGCTATTGAACTTTATACAGCACAGTAATGTATTCACTACTCAATGTTTGCAATATGTGAATAGCAGGGATGAACAGAAATAATGCATTGCTCTTCTGTGTCAGTGAACAAGAAAATAACCCAAAGGATCGACATGTCTCTAATCTAGACAACTCTTTGAACAGAACAACACAAAATACCTGCACTGGAGTTGTATAAATGTTCTTCCCAAACTATTGGAGTTGGTGTGTTCCATTCACACAATGTGGCTCCAAGGTGAGATGCAATCACGTGGACAGTTGCCTACAAGATGAGAAGATGCAAAATTTAAAGTGTAAGCATGCCTTCAAGTGTGTTTGATTCTATTAGCAGAGTTCATTCAAGAAAAAATTGCAAAAATATAATTAATAACTCATTCCTTTACATGATATACATTCATAATGCTGAAAAGCAAAGCAGCGATCAAAACATTGACATAAAATTATGGCACCCACAAATTTAAATAAAAAAAGAAGGCAAGACTGTGAGAGATTGTAACTTTATGAAACTAACTGTGCAGCTGAACAAAATAAATCATGACAAATATAAAAACAGATATTAGGACCACCTACAGATTTTCCAACACCAGCTTGCCCAGTGATGACAAGAACATGATTCCTAGATGCACCCTGCACATTACGAGAGGAAAAAAAAATGAGAATTTACAACAATGAATTCAAATAAAACAAATAAAAAAATCTCGATTAAGCTTAACCCTATCCTTCAGGATATTGTGAAAGAATAACCAAGAACGAGAAGGAAAAATGAAAGTCACATAAAAAGAAATGAGACTTCAGAGTTTATATCAGTATGAGAAAAGTAATCAAAGATGTCTACCCATTAAATGAATCGTTGTTTCAAGTCAAACTGAACTTGGTGATAAGGAAAAGGAACTTTTACATTGTAATTAAAGTATCGACTAGACAAGTTATAATAACCTTTGAACCTCTCAATCTTTCTTCAAACCACACCTTAACTTCTTCGACCTGCAATTACAAAGACAGAAATGGAAAAAGAAGAGGGATCAAGCTTGTGATCACATATTCATATTCGCAGCACAAAGCCAATTAACTCAACCTTTTTCTTGTGAACAGCTAGGTCCACAAAAGAACAGGGTTTGTATTTATCCACCCATAACTCCTTCACGTTGCTTCTTCCAGAACCTGATTCATGTTTCCACTTCCATTTAGCTTAAATGCTCATGTTAAACGAATGAAATAATGTAAAAGAAAAAACGATATTTGGGTTCGAAGGAAACTTGAATTGCATAAATTTAAGACAATATTCTCTATACTTATTATCCTTTGCAAGAATTAGGAATATAATCTGCAGACTGCAGCCATTTTCATTGCATTAGTTGTAACTTTCCTAGCACACAATTCAATGCCAAGTCAATTCATGTTTCCCTCTAAAAGTAAAGTAGAACACTATATAATTGATTTAACAATAACAACAACAATCAACATTTCTCATATTCACGGATAAACAGAGATCAAATGGAAGCAACGAACCACATTGACAAAAATTAACAACAGTTACAGCAATGGCGTACCAGCAGATACCTTGAACCCATCGTCAAAATCTTCACAAAACAATTTAACCTGCGTTACAGTAATCTCCGCATTAGATTTCAAACACCTCATTCCATTCTATAAAAACCCATTTAGCTTAAATTTTGAAATTTCACAGATTACCTCATCCCAATTGCTCGGTGCCGTGCCCAAGCTAGAGCGAGAACCCGAAACCCGAGCCCTTTTGGATCGCCTAGGGTTTGTTCGCGGAACCGAAGAGCTCGATTTCGATTGCGTTTTTCTGCGATTCGCGCTCGATGAACGATCGACGTCTTCGTTGTCCGATGACAACACCACCACAGTGTTCCTCTTCCCCATAACAGAGACACAGAAGAGAAGGTAATTTCCTAGGGTTTTGTACGGGCATTGGTCCCTCTAGCTCGAAGCTCCATAGCTCGAGATGTTGCAAAACCCTAAATCGCTGAAGGAAGAAGCACTCGGAGTGTCTCAGAGCCTAAACGCACCGTCTCGAGTGCGAAATGAAACAGAAAGGGAGGTTTTGATGTGGCGGGATAAAAAATTCGCGGGGTTTTTTGTGAGTTTTGTACTGTGAAATCGAGGAGGCGTAGACGGGAAGCCAATGGGGATAATGTTTTGGGGCCGTTGGATTTATCAGTAGTTAAATTTATATCAATCCAGCGGCCTGTAAGCTTTTAGGTGGCTTGCCATGTTGGCTTAGAAAACGAAGAAAAGGAGCCTCACCCACCCCCACAACTTTAAACTGATTTATTAACCAGCTATTAATCTAGTAATATTTATCGCTCTATGTTCGAGTTTTCTCTCGTATTTATAAACCGCTTCAAACCAAATTACACTCTCCATTTCTTATTTTATTAGTCTTGAATCCTATTAATGTTGAATTTTAACTAATAACTAATGTCATTAAATTGTTATTTTGTTATTTGATAGAATGATAAATTAATATATAAAGTGGCTTTATATACGCAATTAAGAAGATGTTACATTCATATTATTGTTAGTTCATTATAAAACTTAACACACTCATTCTTTTAATATAAATAGTATCGTTTGTTAAAAAAAAAAAAAACTTATCACTTCAAACTGAATCAAACCACACAATAATTATATGAACCTCACGTGTTCGATACGCATGTTCCTCATGTTTTTTTATTTTTTTTATTTTTTATCAAACACATGTCTCTTATTAATTTAATCCGGAATATAATATTTGTAATTTTAATACCCATTTATTATCACGATAAATCATTTTTCTCACGATAAATTTCCCGACTCGAACCGGTACCGGTCGGTCCATCTCGTGGCGCCCACTCACCTACCCCGCCACACCTCTTCCTTCCTCCTTCATCGCCAACAAAATGCCCCACTTATCACACCCGACGCAGCCTCTCCTCCTCTTCCTCCATCTCCACCCGATCCGAACCCGTACCCGAGTCCATGGCCTCCACAGCATCCACAGGCAACCCATTCTCCGTTTCCCTCTCCTCCAGGAAAGCCTCACTCTCCAAGCCCAGCAGCCCGGCCGAGGTTTCTCTCCGTGTTCAGAGCTCCAACGCTTCTTCTCTCCGGACTTCGTTCGTTTCCAATAGTTCGATTGAGTTGACTCGGGGCGCGAACTCGGCGTTGAAGTCGAGCACCGTGAGATCAAGGACGGGGATTATGGCGAGCTCGGCGCAGGTAGTGGATCAGCCGTCGAGTAAAACGGGTCCAGTGGCTCCCACCGTTGTGGACGTCGATTTGGGTAATCGGAGCTACCCGATTTACATCGGATCTGGACTGCTTGATCAGCCCGAACTTCTTCAAAGGTTCAGATTCTTAGTTTTCTCATCAAATTAAAGCTTTAATTGCAGATCATTACATATTTGTTGGTGGTCAAATGCTGCTGAAATTTGTTATGTGAACTAGTAAATGCTTCCTATTAGCTGAGAAATAGATAAGAAAATGGAATTAAATTGGTAATTTAAGGTTTTACTGCGAGTGATTGTGTTTAGTAACAGGGCAAGCTCAAGCTTGCAGCTTTCTTTGATGGGTAAGTTTTCTGAAAGAAAAGAAACATTGTTATGGTAGAAAATACTGGTTTTTCACATGGGTAATTAGCTTTAGTAAAAGGGCAAGTTTTCAGCTTTCTCAAAAATTAAGCTTCTTTTTTGTTGTTTTAATTGCGGTTTTGTGGATGTCGATGTTCTTATTGTTGATTATTACGTTAATGTAGGCATGTTCACGGAAAGAGGGTTCTTGTGGTCACTAACACTAAAGTTGCGCCGTTGTACTTGGATAAAGTTGTTGAGGCTTTGACAAGAGATAACCCGAATGTGTCAGTTGAGAGCGTGATTTTACCAGATGGTGAGAAGTATAAGGACATGGTGAGTATATAAATGCTCGTTTGAATTTTAGTCTTTAAGATTGCATTTGGCCGGTTGAATTATGAGTAACCGCGTTCTTCAACTGGCAGGACACTCTTATGAAAGTGTTTGACAAGGCTATTGAGTCAAGACTGGACCGGCGATGTACATTTGTTGCCCTTGGAGGTGGCGTGATTGGTGACATGTGTGGCTATGCTGCTGCTTCTTTCCTTCGTGGTGTTAACTTCATTCAGATTCCAACAACTGTTATGGCGCAGGTCGGTCACTATCTCTTTCGTTTTCTAGGAGTCATGCACTTATGCACATTATTTCTCATGTGTCAAATTTTTATGTTGGTCAACTTGCAGGTTGATTCTTCTGTTGGGGGCAAAACGGGTATAAACCACCCTCTTGGGAAGAACTTGATCGGTGCTTTTTACCAACCTCAGTGTGTACTTATAGACACAGACACATTGAACACATTACCAGATAGGGAACTGGCATCAGGGCTTGCAGAGGTCATTAAGTATGGGCTTATTAGAGATGCAGATTTCTTTGAATGGCAGGAGAGGAATATTCAGGCACTAATGGCGAGGTACGAAATTTAAACAAAGAGTAAGGAACAGTGAAAAGTTTCCTGTCCCAGCACCATGCTGTGTTTTCCGCTTAATTAATGTTCTATTTGACATGATAAATGTTGTGGGACATCAAATTAAGAGAGTATCTTGTCACCGCCAGTGGTGGTAATTTTAAGGCTGTAGCCATTTTTTCTTTTCCAGTCTGTTGAAGCTTCATGAATAATCTTGTTCCTGCTCAGGATGCACATTCGATTAGTTATGTTGATGAGTATGGTTGGTGCATTGCAGGGATCCAGCGGCAATGGCTTATGCTATAAAGCGGTCGTGTGAAAACAAGGCTGAGGTTGTGTCCTTGGATGAGAAGGAAGGTGGACTGAGGGCTACACTGAACTTGGGTCATACATTTGGTCATGTGAGTTGTTGTTTTGTACAATTAGGGTAATTTTTTTATAATGAAAGCTATTGCAATACTCTGTTGGATTGGATCCCCTATCTAATTAAATATTTGTGATGAAATGCGATGTATTTTCAGGCAATAGAAACTGGGCTCGGCTATGGGAACTGGCTCCATGGAGAAGCTATTGCTGCTGGCATGGTAATTCTCTTATACATTTACATTTCTTTGTTTCCTTGCAAAATTATTCTTCAATGTTTAAAGAGCTTGTGCGTTATGTTTAGGTTATGGCTGTTGACATGTCATACCGCCTTGGCTGGATTGATGATGCACTTGTGAAGCGAACTACCAACATTTTAAAGCAGGCCAAGTTACCTGTTGCACCTCCTGAATCTGTGACGATAGAGACATTCAGATCTGTAATGGCGGTAAGAGAAATGGGATTGTAATTTGTAAGATTGCCGAAGCTCAGTACCTTGTTTGCTTGTTTCTTAATGTATCCGTCTTCTTCTGGTACGGCAGGTTGATAAGAAGGTAGCTGATGGGTTACTAAGACTCATCCTTCTGAAAGGTCCTTTGGGAAATTGTGTCTTCACCGGCGAATATGATAGAAAGGCCCTCGACGAAACACTCCACGCATTTTGCAAGTCCTGATTCGCACTAGATGTGTGCAAGTTCCGCACCTGCGTATTGTATTTTAGTTGTCTTTGACCCGTTCGTGTACTTTTCACCTATGTTATAGATGCCCTCAGAATCCCTTTATTTATCGGCAATAGCGTTTACCAAGTTGTAATTTTCGAAACTGTTGTATTTGCAATAAGCCTGGGAAATCATATTGTCCAACGCTTGCTTCTTTTCTGGATATCGTGAAATATGCACATTCTTTTCTAGTTCCAATTTGCTATTTCCTTCATATTCTGATGTCCATTGAGAAGTTGGATGTCTATTTGGAGGACCCACCTACACTCCCAAAGACATCATTTAACATCTCAGACTAATAATACGATATCACGTAATATAAGTTTCCATTTGGCGTTACACGATTTGGTTGGAGCACCTTTACGTTGATGTCTCTCTTTCATGAAAGTATTTGTATGCTTGAGTATTTGTTCTTGTCTTTTCACCGAACCACTAAGTACTAGTTTGGTATTGTGGTGTTCTTATAAAAAGTGGGTATAAAAAAAAGCTGAGCTCAAAACGGTATTTGGTAAGCACTTAAAAATAGTTTATTTTCACAGTTTTAGGTGAAAAAAAGCTGAAAACATGAAGTAGCAAAAATGAGCTTATTCTCACAGCACGGCAGAAGCAGTTTTTTTCAAAGCATAACAATACCAAACCAGCTCTAAGAAATAACCACGAACATTGAATTTTTTTTTTTTTTCTTTTAATACCTCCAACGTGGAGAAGAAGAACTTACAGCAACTAGAATGTCAAAAAAGTTGTAACTCAAATTAATTATGCGATGTTTTGTAAATAAGTTAAAACATATGATTACACATTTATGTCAAAGTAGTATCTTAAACTAATTAAGTGATTCCTTATAAATCAGTATAAAACATAACGATGCGTGATAGACTCAAATCATCATCACCTATACCGTCTCGGTTATGTATAAGTTTCTCTATGCCAGATGGTGGTTTTGCACCTGTTCTTTCCAGGCTTGCAATTCAAATTCCAAAAATGGATAAACATTTCTGCCCTGTACTTTTAAGGTGGCAATGCAACTGTTCCATAATGTAATGGGGGGTAGACGGACAGCTTTGGCCTTGCCAGAAGATATTCTGCCCAAGCTGCCCCAACTATATTTAATGTAATTGATCAAACAACAATCTCTCTGCCCTTGTATTTTAGGGAACTTTAACGAAAAACTTCTGATATTGTTCACTTTAACGAAAAATCATATTTTTATACTAAAATGTCAATCTTGGTACTATTCACTTTACCCTTTATTTTGTCCTTATCGTTAAAACTCAAAGTTTTCAAGTCATTTTCATTAGTTTTCCTTATATTTTATGGAAAGGGATCCGGAGAGGATCCCAAACTAGGTGGATTAAGTGAAAAGGGATCCGGAGAGGATCCCTTTCCATATTTTATAACATAAGTGGAAGTTTTAAAAAAAATATATATAATTTCTTTTAAGATTTGGTTATCTAATCTCAATTTGCTCTTAAGTGGTAAATTGTCAAACGAATAGAGCTTGCTATTCAGCTCACTGTATCTCGAGTTTAAACTACTTCCATACTTTGTAGTTATTATAGTTTAGAGTAGTATGTCGCTTGTAACAAAAAAAAATCAATTTGCCCCAAAACCCTACCTAACCAAATCCGCAAGGCCTCCAAACTTTCAATAATCTTAGTTATTTGTCTTGTACCTCAAGAAATTAATCATTTTTTCGTAGAAATTTTTCTTGTATTGTGGTAATTGATGTGGTTGCTGTCATGTAAATTATACTCTTATCAAATTCCAACTACCTCTGCGCTACCACACATTCATTGGCAAGCATAAGTTGTTATGGTGGGAAGATTAGTAGTGCCCCACTTTTAAAATAATTAATTTTTTGCTAACATGTTTGATAATTTGATTCATATAATTTTACCCCATTTTCTCCTATTTTTAATTAGTTTCTTTAAGGTTTTTGGGTATTGGAGTTTTTGGTTATCTAATTAATAGTTGATTTAGTAGCAACTAATATGATCTAGTACATGAACTACATGTGAAAGGATTCTTATCTATTTGTGATTATCTTTGCTAATCGTCCTCACCAAACTAGGGTTGTGATTATTTCTTTGTCACAAATCATTCGGATAGATTGGCATTATGATAACATAACGCTCAAGACAGTTTTTCTTGGCGCATATATAACGTGTTACGTTGTGTCATACTTTGTATCTAAAATACAAACCAAAATAAGAATCACCAACTAATTGCCTATAACAACATTTCAACGAAACAACACACCAGACTCTCCAACGCTAAGAGAATAAATAGAAACTATGTAACAATGGGTTGTGATTATTTCTTTTTCACAAATCATTTGGATAGATTGGCACTATGATAACATAACGTGTAAAACAGGTTTTCTTGACGTATATCTAACACGTTATATTGTGTCATACTTTGCATCTAGAATACAAACCAAAATAAGAATAACTAGTTAATTGCTCGCAACGCCACTCCAGTTACATAACACGTCAGACTCTCCAACACTAAGAGAATAAATAGAAACTATGCAACAATGGGTTGTGATTATTTCTTTGTCACACATCATTGGAATAGATTGACATTATGATAACATAACGCGTAAGACAGATTTTCTTGGCTCATATTTGACGTGTTATGCCGTGTCATACTTTGTATCTAGAATACAAACCAAAATAAGAATAACCAGCTAATTGCCCACAACGACAGTCCAGCGACATAACACATCAGACTCTCCACCGTAAAGAGAATAAATAGAAGCCATGTAATAATTCCGTGACAAGGAGCGAACTATTCAAAAATTACCTTAAATCGATAGTCGATTCCCAAACTAAACGGATAGAAATTAAAATCACACAAAGAGACAAGAATTTAACTTTAAAATATGACAGATAATCCATGAAAGATGTCACTTTTCAGATAGTCTGCTTAGCATTTATCTTGAAATAATTCTTTTTTGTCATCCGTGTAAAACACACCACACAAACCAAGAAGAAAAATCCAAAATCCAAAAATTGCACAACAGCCCTTTAACTTGAATACATTTCAATTTTCATCCCCACCAAACAAAAACAACAATAAAATCCCCCTCGAAAAGCCCAAAAACCCGACCCCAAATACAAAAAACCGGATCCAACTCCCTCGCGATTAACGCGCAGAAAGAAGGAAAAACAGAGAGCGGAGACGGAGAGGGAGAGAGAGAGAGCGGGAGGAGAGAGAGAGAGAGAGAGGGAGACTCACAGCTATTTGTCGGGGAGAGTTTGTTGCTCAACGAACGCTTCAACGGCCAAAAAAAATTCGCGGCCAAAAAAAAATCCGCCATTTTTGTCTCGCTCTCTCTCCTCTTTTGTCTTCCGTCGATCTTCCACAACACCCACATTTCGCCCATTTTTCTCCTTTCAATTTTTCCTTCTGAAATCCCCCAATCTTTTTCTCCTCTTTTCTCTTTCTCTCTCTCGATTTCCCCCCATTTGCCAAAATTAGGGTTAGGGTTTCGTTGAGAATTCGTCCTAATTTGGATCGCGCCTCAGATGTGTAATTGACGAGGAGGAGGAAGGAGAAGAAGAAGATCGGGTCCTCAGGTTCGAAGGAGATCTGGGGCTTGGGGTTTTCTTTCTTTCTTTTGGGTTGGTTTTTTTTTGAGAAAGTGAGAGAACAGCAAAAATGAGCGCGTCAAGGTTCATAAAGTGCGTCACGGTTGGGGACGGGGCTGTGGGCAAGACGTGTCTGCTTATCTCCTACACCAGCAACACCTTCCCCACCGTAAGTCTTCAATTCCCCAATTCCTATTTTTTTGATTTAATTTGCCTTCCTTTTTTGGGAATTTTAATGTAGGGTTCTGTTGTTGCAATTGGTGAAATGGATTTGGTAATTGATTTATTGCTTGTAATGGGGTTTTTTGTTTGGTTCTGGGAAGTTTGATGCATAGAATTGTTGGTGAATTTTTAGCTGAATTATTCACAGATTAGCTTCCTTTGTTTTGGTAGCTGATTTATTGCGTTCAATATTGCTGACGATATTTGATTGTTTTAAAAACATTGGGTGCAAATAATTGGAATGGTATTCATTTTGGTGAAAATTGCCCCCCCCCCTCCCCTTTTTTTAGGGGCAATCAAATGTCAAAGGTTTGAAAATAAGTGGGTTATATCTTTAATGAATTATTGGGATTTTGAAATTCTTTTTCTGCTCCTGATTAAATTCCTTGGATGTTCGGATTGCGGTGTTTTGTAGGAGTTCTTTCATATTTTTGGGATTTTGCTTTTGCGATTCTGCCTATAATATGTTGCTGGATGAAATTTTTAATCTTTTCTTCCTAGAATGTTTTTGCAATGTGGTTGTTTGTGATTTCATATTGTTAAGGTTTAATAAAGTTATTAGGTAGGGGAGATCATTTGTCAATATGATGGACAGTTTATAACTTTCTTTCGTATTGTGGTGGGAAACAGGATTACGTGCCAACTGTTTTCGACAATTTCAGTGCAAACGTGGTCGTCAATGGGAGCACTGTTAACCTGGGGTTATGGGATACAGCTGGTAAATATGCATTGTCACTTTGGTTTTTGTTTACTAGGGTCGTATGTATGTTAGTGTTTTAGGTATGAATTTTATTTTTTGTGCAACAGGACAGGAGGATTACAATAGATTAAGACCCTTGAGTTATCGTGGTGCTGATGTGTTTATACTGGCGTTCTCTCTCATCAGCAAAGCCAGCTACGAAAATGTGTCCAAGAAGGTGAGATTTTGCTATATGGGATTTAGGTGTACATGATGTGCTACTGATTATGACTGTTTTGTCTTTATGATTGATGATTTGCTGATAAATTTCAAATATATTGATTTCCTTTCCAGTGGATCCCAGAATTGAAGCATTATGCGCCTGGTGTTCCAATCATTCTTGTTGGAACAAAGCTTGGTAAAATTTTATCTTTTCTACTTTGTAAATATTGAAAAAAAGTCTCTGGTTTATTAATATACTTTTTGAGATGGTCCCGTTATTGGAACACATTGAGTGTTTTTAAATTAATGATCGTTCTAACCGTCGAATGTCTTTAATGAGGGAACTTCTTACTTTTCTTTTTTCACACAAATTTAATGAACTAGATCTTCGGGACGACAAGCAGTTCTTTATTGATCATCCCGGTGCTGTCCCAATTACTACCGCTCAAGTAACGTTCTTTTCTTGTGCATTGCTCAGTGTTCATCTTATCTTCTTTTCTTCTTCCTTATAATTAAGATTTATCTCTACCCTTGTAGGGAGAGGAACTCAGGAAGCTAATTGGAGCACCAGCTTATATCGAGTGCAGTTCAAAAACTCAGCAGGTATTTAGATTATATATTGCATTATGCGAGGGGTTTCTCATGCTCAAACTGTCACTTATGATGTGCGTTTGCGGCTGCAGAATGTGAAAGGGGTCTTTGACGCAGCCATAAGGGTTGTACTTCAACCTCCGAAGCAGAAGAAAAAGAAGGGCAAAGGGCAGAAGGCATGCTCCATATTGTGATTTGGAAAATAGGTGTAAAGAGATAATGACCAGCCATTCTGCATGTATTCCCCCACAGCCCTTTGTTCCCTAAATCTTGTTTTTCCCTTTTGTCCTGAAGAAGCTGGAGTCCGTAAGTTGTCGTGTTTGACAATCATATCGATCTCTCTGTGAAAGCATCAGGTGGTTGGGTGTTGCATTCTTGGAACTGTTGTGATACCTTAAATTGTTGAATTCTATCGTTGGCAACTTTTTCTGAACTCCGGTTTTGATTTTTTATATGTATTAAACGACCTTGTTAGGAAACAACCTTGTTTCGCATCGACACAGTTATATTATTACTATCTGTTGTACTTGAAGGCTTGGGCATGCCTATATCGGTGCGTTTTGTTTTTATTTTTCGGTTTGCCTCAATACAATGCATTGCCTCACATGTTATTAGGCTAGCGGTTTTCTAACACTCCTCTTTTCTCTTGCACTCGTCCTGTGGGTGCACAAGAAAAGTTATGAAAGAGGAGTGCCAATGGTAGATGAACAGTATTGGTGAGTTGGGGAATTGATGTTTTTCATCTGTTCTTTGAACCATCAGGGTTTGAATGCTTGCTGAGTTGGAGGAAGTGGTGGTTTGGTTCATTAAGGAGGTGTCCTCTTAAGGCCAAGTTGGAGCCAATTATTTTTGAGATAATACTAAAAAATAGTTTTCAAGTTTCAAATGGTTTAACACGTTTTCTTGAGAAAAAAAAAAAAAAGAAAAATGGGTAGTGAAAGTCGGTTATACCTCTTTACTTATAAGTGGGAAGTTTTAAATTCTTTTTAAGGTGAGTTCAAACGTATTATTGTGGAGGTTGGTCCTTTCCTTGCCGAACCATGAAGATGTTAAGTTTTTATTCCCCGCCAAACCATGATGAATGTAAGTGTATTTACCCCGCCAACTGAGGAGACCCGTAAACTAACACTTGCAATGAAACAATGAATGTTAGAGAGTGAATCCCACGTTGATGAGAGGAGAAACCTTACATGAGCTTATAAGAAAATTGGCTACTCCCCATGCTGCCAATTAGTTTTATGGTGAAATCTCAACTTCCTTCGCATAAAGGATAAGTTTAATAGTTTCCAAGAACCTCAAGAAAGATGTGCTTGGTTCTGAATTCTGATGGACGTAGATTCAAATTCAAATACATGTTGTACGTACATTTGTAATATTGCAGCAACACAATCAGTATACAGAATTCTTAGACGAGAGATTACCCAAAGGAAACATCCTATCGGACCCACTGGTCACCAAGGAAAATTCAGCATCGGGGAGGATAACGCCATACAATCTATTCTCTCAACAAAACAAAGTCAAAAAGGATGAAATCGATTCCTAACAACCACCAAGACAAACTTATCTGCAGCTCTCAACATTAATAACAAGTGTCCTTCGAAGAAGGTCAAGCCTTGATGGGCTCATATCTTTCACCAACTGCGCCGCCTTTCTGCTTCTGGAACTGGATGTACCGCTGTGTGCTGGCAAAGAAAGCATCAACAGATGGCTCTGCTGAGGCCGAGTCGCTTTGCAGTTCAGTTGTAACCAATTCAATCAGGCTTTGAACTGAAGCAACCGTTATCTGTGGGTTCCCCTTCTCAAAGAAATAAAGGTACCTGAAAACACAATAAAATAAGGCCTTCTCTTTCCGCAAAATAAACAGAAAAAATCAGCTTTGGTGTCCGCAACTATTACTTGTTCAGTATTTCAACAAAGAGCGCCACAGAACCGGTGCTACCCCGTGTAGCACTGGACATCTGCTGGGCAGCATTGGCGATTCTTAAAGCTCGCTTTAGGCAAATCAGTACCCTGGATAGCAAGCAAGTACAAGAAACATAAAACAAATTATTACCACATAAACCAAGAAATGGCTCTGCTAAGATTCTTATACTCAGAAACCATCCCTCCACTCAGTTCTTTTCCATTTAACTCATAATTGTCCTGCACACAGTTCTTTCATCGTGAACATATCCTTTTGGAACGATAGAGAAAACTGACATGACTTGCACAACACACCTTTCTCCATCCTTCATGTTCTCCTGATCGTCAACCCAGAAGAGATGTGAGCAAGCATAAACAGCTCGGCACTGATCAGCCTTCTTTAAAAGCTTTGCCGAATACTGGTAAAAGACAAGACATTAAGTAAGGTTCAGTAAAATGGGAGGGGCGGCGTTATTATAGCTAATGAAATTATGATTACCCCCGTGGCTTTGTGAGTTAAAGTATCCCTGTTTTCAACACCAAATACATGCATCCTCTGGAGAGTCCCAACTATCAGATGAATGGCAGTCACCTGTGCTTTCGAATCCTATTACAGGAAAAGCATGAAAACAAGAAAGGTTAGATATAATCCAGTGTTCAATAAGGAACGAGTAGAAATAATCCAGTGTTCCATTGAAACCTTTAAAATAATGGAACAGGCGAAAAGGCAAAGAATTAGCTCCCAAGGGGAAAACTTACTGAAATTTCTTCTTCGTAAAGAATATATGCTTGGGTGAAGAACTCATATGCAACGGGTTCCAAATCACAGTCATTTGCAGCCTAATTATTGAAAAACAAGAGGCATTAAATTAGGGATAACATTTGTTGGGTCGTGCATTTTAATTGAAAACTGAACATTTCAATGTGCTTTTAATTTGAAAGCTGAACATTTCAAATGTACCTCAGCACATTGCAAGTATAACCGTAATGCCAGTTCAGGTGCTGGAACATTCAACAGAGCCTCAATAGTCTAAAACAATAAACCAGAAGTGTTACTCAATAGCTAGAAAGATCAAAGTCTAAGCTCAAACTGTGTAGGATATACATAAAGCGAGCTTTCTGAAAGCCTTCACTAGCATTTACCTGAGTCAAGAGCTGAAAATTTTCTTTGGTGTGGTTGATGCATCATCTCCAAATGGATTCTCTTCCCGGGCTTGCAATTTCCTAACCAACTGCACATTACAAACAAAATCAGACTAACACTGGCAAAAAGACCATCCATTCCATGAATAATAGGTTACTCACACCGTACTAATTTGCGAAATTTCTACAGCAAATAGACAAAATACAAAAAGTTGACTACTATAAACATATAACATGTCCAACTGTTACATGATCTGGACAGACAGAAGCAAACCTTTAGAGAAGAGAAAACTAGGGGAGGGACAGTAAAAGGCAAACGCTTTGGTCCTCCATTCAGGATGTGCTTCTTCACAGTACATATGATCTGCAATTCAGTGCAAGAATTGTGGCAAACATTAAGGATGAATGGTGCTCCAATTCATGCAAATATCTCTTGAAAGGGAAAAATCAATGTACAAAGAGTAATCCACATGTGCTTCAATTTCTAAAATATATGTACAAAATGAATTGCCCATGAGTGATATTGCCATGTTATAAGACCCGTATCTGACAAGCAGGGGTAGGGTGGCATGAAATCAAGGCACAACAACTCACGGTCACATCAGTTCAAAATGCAGAAAACGTTTGTATGTGCTTGTTCCCATATATTAGTACAGAAATATGATAAAACAAATAATTATGACTCAATAAAAACTCCAAGAGGATATAATTCAGGATGACTCCAGAATTAAATACTTGAGAATTCTATCCTCGTGTAAGTTAAGATTATAAAGACAGAAGGTATGTAAAGCACATGAATATTATACTCAAACATATCAAATACCTTAAACATCTCTTCGGAATCATCATTAGAAAACATTTGAATAAGTCGCGCAACTGAATTTTGCTCCTCCTTGAAATCCTCTTCATCAACCTAGAGTTGAAAGAGAAGATATGCTCGCATAAGTGTTTGGATTCAGAAGAACATGCATAAATTTGTGAAAGCCTAAAGAGGATCTTTAATATCACCAACAAATTTATGATCGATAACGATAACACAGAGAAATTACCTCATCATTAAGAGGCCCATCCAAATCCTCAATAAGTCCTTTTATTAATTCAAATAATGCCTCAACCTGTAAAAATAGCATTCCATGTCATTAAGAAGCAGACTCGGAGAAAAGGACAAACAATGAGTTAACCATACCTTCTCAGCAGTTAAAACATGAGTTGTATTTTTCATTATGCTCTGAATTATAACAGTAGCCATGACTTTATTTGTTCCACTATCAAGAAATTCCAGGACACGAGGATAATTTGTAAGCTTCAAAGCCGTGACAATATCATTATATTTCTCAAGTGGAGCACTTAAAAGTGCAACCACTTGTTTTGTTGCCCTGCTGTCTTGAATTTTCCCTTTTCCAGAGAGTTTCTTAACAAATGAGCCCTGGTGAAAAGAAAAAAATGAAAAGAATAAAATACGTGCTGACCTTTTATTGAACATAATACACTGATCTTGTTATACAACAACATCTAACCAAGGATTCATGATAAAATGAACCATTGATCAATTTAGACAATACGATAAGCAAATCTATACCACCAGACTAAGAGCACAGGATATTCAAATACGTCTTACTGGATTATACATGTATAGTATAAAGTGGAAAGTTAGGGTTCATCCAAAGTATATGCAATCAAATATTTGCAAAGGCAGGGCTACCCAATTTCAGCCCTATGCGATTTGACCAATAAAATCCATTTCACTTATAATATATGGCATGAACTATGATGTACCTAGAAGATAGAACTGCGCATACATATACTAAAACAGTCTGTCCAGGAAACATACCAACACTTGGTCAGCATAATCAAGTCGATCAGGGTGCACATGGAGGGTAAATTTAAGAAGAGATGAATATAGAGTTACAACACCGATGATAGGCATGTCAACTTGTGCTTCAATCACCTGCATTGGCATATTGTTTAGGTATCAATATGGATGCAAATAAATACACAAAAAGAAGCACATAAACACAAATGTCAACACAGGAAAGCATATAGATGCAATGAACACTTGGTCACAGTTATATGCAGTACACATGCCTTATCCTGCAGATGAACAAGGTCACAAAAGCTCTATGTGCAACTACTTGGTAACAGCATATATGAAAAGAGAATTAAAGCATGGCACAACCCTGAATTTAATCAACTTATTATACGGTAAGATTACCTTTCCAATAGCATTGCTCAGTTTCGAAAAAGCTTCTACTTGTAAAAACTCAGGCAGCACTTCTGTACTTGAAGCAGCATAATTTGAAAGTCTTTCCATCAACTGGGATAGAACTGTCTTGATATCAACAGATGGCTGAAAAAAAAAATGAAAGTGAGACAAGAATGGCGGAAAAAAAAAATACGACAATGAATATTATGAATACACAAAAATAAGTTATCTAACATTCTCAATCAAATTTCAAACAAAAGACAAAACATTTTCAAAATTAAGAGTATACCCTATAAACTATTAGCCCTATCATTAACGGATTTACTATATGAAGCAGAACACAACGTTCCATGTATCAATTCATGGAGACATGATGCTCCATGCCTATTCCTATGAAACATTCAAAGTAACTATCCATGTGGCTTAAAATGAGTGCAGCAAGTCATAACAAAATGTAAAAAACCTCTTGCAATGAAGAAGGTATATAAACTCCAAGATCACAACAAATAACAAAAGCACCTTCAGTTTTAAAAGATCAAAGCACAAAACACCATGAATGCAAGATAGAAGAAAAGTGATACGAATACAAAACATTACAGGGTATTATACAGTTTGTGCAAATAATGTCAACTACCTGAAGTTGGGGGCAAGCACCTAACAATACATCAAGAGTTTGCAAGTGGTACTCATCAGGAAAGACTTGAATTATGCAATCCATCAAATAAAACTGTGCAAGCTCATCCTTACAATTGACAACCTGTTAAAAAAATGCGAGATGATGAAGCCATTTTTTTAAGGTTAACAGCTGAAAGTCTCACATCATAAGACAGCATCAATTGGACCTGTTCCAGGACTCTGGGAAGCACCGTATCTTTGTACAAATCCAGATCAACACCTTCTATCTGGCTGAGGACATGCAAGTTTTTACCAACCTAAAGGAACAACAGAGAAGCCTTCTGTAAGTGTACACTGCATATGTGCACAACAATATAGCAGTGAAATCAACCAGCTACCAGTTACTGATATTACAAGATCACGTAGCTCGCTCCTTTCTTTCTCCCGCTTCTCCTTTTCCCTGGCAGGTCCCTGCAGACCAGAAAGCCGGAGAGCAAGCCTCAACTCAGATCAGCTAAGAGTATGAATGATTCAAAAGCACTACAACACCTGCATGACCAGAAAGCATGCCCTCATGACATATTTTTACCTTCATGACATGCAAGCATTGTGGTACCCATGCATGTCTAAACCTGAGAGCTCTCTATAAAAGTGTCAACCAACCTGATGTTGCATCCGCACCCAAAGTTTGTTCATCTCAGTGAAATTTTGGAGAACAAACTCAACAGCGTCCTTGACAGTGTCAGCATCTCTGTGCAAGTTAAGAAAATTGACAAATCAAATTGAATCAAATGCAAGAACACTATCTTCATAGAAAGAAAAAAAACATACGAATGAATGAATATCCGATTTCCTTACCCTTCATATTCAGAACCAATATCAGGCAATTTATCCCTACTCACTTGAGAAAGGTAACTCCTTAAGAATAGCCCACGTACAGGATTCTGAATGCCACGGGACATTTCCACAAGATCTTTCAGGACATCCTTAGCAGGAGCTTCCTTAGATTTGATATACACAGATCCTACCGTACAGAGAAGATACCTAATAGAGAGGATAAAATTCGCACGTAAGCCACAGAAATGTAAAAGCTATGCCTTGTTCTTCACTTAAGGTAAAATCGACACACTCCATAGAACACCCTGAAACGTAACATCATCCAACTCATAATTGTACAAACCTACATTACAAAGACATCGACAATAGATCAGATCATCAACTGTAACTTCTGCTTAGCTTCAGGTCTTCTTTTGATATGGTTTAGTATTAGGGAACTTTTCAAGTTGCAGCATGTTTATAAACTAACAGAAATACCCTATCTGAAGGAATATGAGCCGCAATGCCAACTAGGCAAGTAAGATAGTATGTGCAACATAGTTCATAACAAGAACAAATTGCGTTATCTCAAGGGGACAGTAAGTAAACTACGGAATTCAAAACCTAAATTAAGCAATTGATACACATGCAACCGAAGATTACCAAGTGGTTAGCGTTTTTAACATAATTGAGACTTACAATCTAGGCAATATGTTGCCTGCGTGCTGGACGAGCTCATAGAGATCGATAATGGAGCAACCGCGCCGAGCCTCCTCCTTGAAGAACATTTCCAATTTCCTCAATTCGTCAAACGCCCGCATATCTGAGGCAATTCAATCCACAAATCAGTGAAATCACCATCCACAAACTCGCTAACAATCGGCATTTACAAAAATGCAAAAACGAAGCAGAATCAATTTCCAAATCCCTCCAGATCGACGACGAGTAGCCAGTACTTACAGAGTTCGTAGTACTTGTGTGGGGAAAGCTTGGAGGTCCGGAGCTCCGAGAGCATCTGAGCAGAATACTTGAGGGCGTCTCTGAGATTGTTGGAGTCCTGATTGAAAAATTTGCAGAAAATTGCACGGAGGAAAACAATTTCAGTGAATTTTCTGGGAAAAGAAAATCGGTACAAAATTGGAGGGAAGAAGATCAAGGGTTTGTTTGATTGATTGATTGATTGAAGGAGAAGTTACCAGAGCACGATGCATGTAGAAGGCGTTTTGCTGGAGGCCGGCGATTCCAGCTGCTAGCCATTTCTCTTCATCTTCAACTCCGTCCGAGATCATCTTCTCTCTCTAGCTCTCTCTCTCTCTCTCTCTCTCTCTCTCTCTCGAGGTTGCGTTTTGACCAGACTGGTTTTGGCCCCAAATGTCTGTCCAACTCTGTTTGGTCTGTTTTGGATCCGGACCCGATATCATGGGTCGGTTAAACGGGTTAGGGGTCAGCCCAGCTATAATCAGGCTCATGTCAGTTGGGCCTTTATTTAAATGGGCTGAGGCCGAGCTTGTGTCGTGTTCGAGTCGGCAGGATCTTCTATGTTTCCTTGAAACAAACAATAGCCGAGAAGAGAGGATTCGAACTCGTGATTTCGGATGCAAAGATACATGTTCTTAATTAATTAACTTACGAACCATTTTCGATGCCAAATCTCTTTAAATCCTCTATTTTTATATGTGGTTTAATCCACTTTTGTTCCCAAGTTGAAAGTTACCTTACATTTTAGATAGTTATGTTAGATATTTTATAATTTCGTTCAAACTTTTTTATTTATTTAAACGATAGTTTACATTAATTTAGATTAAAAAAAAAAGTTTGAACCTGAATCACAATAGTTCGAAGAGTAATGTCCGTATCACAAGGACAATTTATCACTTCCTATACTGCATTTAAAAATAAGGAAAACCAATGAAAATTGCTTGAAAATTTTGAGTTTTAACGATAAAGACAAAATGAAGGGTAAAGTGAATAGTATCATGATTGACTTTTTAGTGTAAAAATGTGATTTTTCGTTAAAGTAAACAGTACCGGGAGCTTTTCATTAAAATTCACTTAAAAATTATTGGGACAATATTGTAGGTTATGTATTATGAAATCTTGGAAGACTATTTGAAAACAACCTCTTTAGTTCAACTTAAATTATTAAAAAAAGGCCTAATTTGATATAAAACCAATTTGTAAATTTTTATTAGGAATATTCTGCTTCATTGAATTAGGTCGGATGAGTCACTTTTTTTTTAACCAGATTTACCCTTGAGCAACTAATAAAGTAATTAATATTATCCATTGAGTTTCGTATTATCTTCTTCTTTAATTTATTAAATAGTTTTAACTATTAAAGGTTTTAAAAATATAATTATCTCTTGATCTATTTATCGTGACTCGTCTCCTTATTTCTTTACCTATTATTTTTGTTATTTCTTCTTCTTCATGTTGTAAATCTGATAAACGAAATTGCTGTGAAATTGGTAAAACCATTGGCCCTAAATAGAGATTATTAACTATATACCTATATCAATAAATTGTTTTTTTTTTTTTAAGTCAACATGCATCACCTGTTAATTGTGTTATCGAGTGATATATATATATATATATATGACATTTTTTTTATTTTTATAATCAACATATATCACAGATAATTATATGGGAATCCATATCACTAGTTAATATTTCTTACTTGTAGGCATATTATGTTTTTTTAACGTTTTTACTTTTGCAAGTGTGTTTATGTACCATTGGTTAGATAGATTTCATAATATTGTTTTGTTTTTCCAATATTTAAAGCTAAGTCGCATGTTCTGCAAATGAGTTTATATTTTTGTATAATATTCAGTGGATTGAGAATAAACCAATTTTTAAATACTAAAAATTCAAAACCACGTGTAGAAAATTCATGAACATAGAGTTATTTTAAGTTATTTCTAATAAAAAAAGGAGATTCCATATCACTTTCGAAAATGAATTTGCTACTTTACGACAGTTGCATGCATGGTTTACTAATTTTTCTAATAAAGTAATTCCTTGGTTAAAATTCGATATGTATGAGTTAAACGTGCCAACTACCAAAAACAATGAGAGAAATGCCAAAAGATTTAGGGAGAAAAAAAAAAAAGAAGATGATATTATAATCGTTTTAAAAGAATTGCAAAGTTTGTGATCCATCAATATGCCATCTACCCTACAAAAACAAAACTTATCATTCCCCCACATCTCTGACGTTGCTGTTTTCTCAACCCAACCGGGAGTCGCTCCAGGCACGAGAGCGCAAAACAACAGCCAAAAAGCCGGAAACCACCTCTTCACACGTACAGTACCACCCAAAAACTAGAAGACATCAAGTACAAATTCACTGGCGCGCTTTCGGCTCCTCAGTTGTCAATCTTCCACTTTCCCCCAGGGGTTTAGAACGGTACTGTGTATGGCAAAGCATATATATCGGACTCGGGCAAGAGGCGAGCACATGGCCAAGAAGTTGGGTCTCCGTGGCTAAGTTTCTCGCTGACGACTGTAGGTTTCTCAACCCCACAGTTCTTTTTCGTCTTTGCCTCAAACAACCATCCCTCATCGTCGACAGTCCGCGGGAAGACATTGTGAGATTGGAGGTTGAACCCAGTTTTCAATTACTTCTCTGTATTGTGAAGAAAGAGAACCGCTGCCAGATTTTCGGTGTTTTTCTTTACCAGACCTGGAAGAGTGTTCTTTGCTAGCTTTTCCAGAAGTAGAGCAGCGATACTGTCCCTCGTCTATGCCTTGTCTAGGAGCAGGTTCTTGCACTGCTTGAACAAACGCATTATCAGTCCTTCCTGAGGAAGAGCAAGGCTGTTCTTGGCTTAGTAGCACTCCTGGACCTTTAGGCCTTTGGAGAGACAACCGGGAAGGCAGTTCCTGGCTGGGTAGCAATCTGGGACCTTTGTTCCTTTGGAGAGAAAACAGGGAAGGTTGTTCCTGGCTAGGTAGCGCCACTGGACCTTTGTGCCTTTGGAGAGACAACTGGGAAGGTTGTTCCTGACTGCGTAGCACCTCTGGACCTTTGTGCCTTTGGAGAGACAACTGGGAAGGCTGTTCCTGGCTGGGTAGAACTTCTGCATCTTTTTTCCTTTGGAGAGACAACCGGGAAGGCTGTTCAAGACCGAGTAGCACTTCTGGATCTTTGTTCCTTTGAAGTGACAACCGGTAAGGGTGTTCCTCTTTTGATAGCACTACTGGATCCTTGTGCTTTTGGAGAGGCAACTGGGTAGGTTGTTTCTCTCTGGATAGCATCACTGGATCTTTGTGCGTTTCTAAAGGCAACTGGCAAGGCTGCTCCTCTCTGGGTAGCATTTCAGGATCTTTGTGCCTTTGAAGAGGCAACCGGATCCGAAGAATGCTTGCTTCAAATAATAACATTTTGAAGAAAGAATATCAGTGCCCATGAGAAGCTAACAAACCCAACAGGCAAACACCCTTCTCCCAAGCAAGGAAGAAACATAATAACACTCACCAGAATTATGCCTGCCATCAGGGGGAGAGTCCTGCTTCTGCCTTTTGTTGCTGTTAACGGTGCTATCAGAAGAGTTCTGGGAACCAACTGGTTGCTCGTGTTCTTCAGTAAGGCCACTCTTGTCAAGGTTTTCCGTTTCATGTTTTCTCTTCTTTCCATGGTCTGTACCTTTCTCGTCTTCTTGGCGCCTTTCATCTTTGTGCCTTTTTTTATGACTCTGCTTCTTATTTTCAGGCTCCCCATTTTCTCGAGCCTTCTTTTCTTTCTTCTCTCGTTTTTTCTCCCTCTTCTTTTCTTTCTTGGCCTTCTCATCTTCTCTTTGGAGCTTCAAATAACAAGAGTAACCATCAACTTTTGAACTTGTAGAGGAAAAGTTTAAAATACAACCACAAACAGCAAGAATGCCAAAGCAGACAACAAATTCTTGGATAGAACATAACATCCTTTTAGAACCAATTTTCAGTTACAAAAGAAGGAACAGTGACCGAAGCTTCAGATCAAGAAGACACGTTCACGATCCAATAGAAATCAACCAATCAACATTGAAGACAGAACCAATACAGATGATCTAAGAAAAGAATTTTGGTTGTTAGACAATTGTCAGGTATTATTGTTTCTCCGTATCAAGTGTTAATTGAATTTTTATATATGACATCCACAACAAAGTCATCGTTCCAGCTAAAGACCTAAAGCAATCGGTATGTAAAATCTATACAGACACGCTATAGATATTGCACTCTAACTTTGATGCATACAGATCAGCACTAACCATAGCAATTCCTAAGGTGAAATTAAAGCGATTAAGGCTACTCCAACCAAAACTACACGAATTCTCAATTATGCCTTGAAGAGGACTCGAACCTCCACGCTCTTCAGCACAAGACAAATTTGAGTCTCGCGTGTCTACCAATTCCACCACCAAGGCATCTTCAAAGAAGCTTAACCGGTACATATGCACTAAACGAAAAGGAAAACTTGAATCCTACAACATATGCCACATCCCAACACCACGCAAAAGGTGCTATGTATCTGATCCTGCCATCTATTAACTACCCCGGTCAAATAAACTAAACCTACATTTACCCAAAAATCTACTTAGCCATACTTTATCATTGTGACTGTCCAAGGACACACACTCAACCCTCAAAGTTAACTTCCTAATCCACTATAATGCTAACTCATTATCAGGTACGTGGAGCCACTTCAAACTTGAGTATGTAACTCAATGAGAACTAGACTGATCTTCAAGCAGCCAGCACATACTTAAATATGTACTTGACCATCTCAAATCATTCGTCTACAAGCAAGAATGTCAAGAAATATCATCTTATGCATCTCAAATCATTTTTCACAAAACAATCCCAATCCAACTTAACAGCACTCTGAAGTGCCTATATAGTATCAAGGTCAGTTGTTTGATTCAAACAACACGACATCATGGATACCTAGTATCAAGAACAGGGACCATCATTCACAAACAGCTAAAGCCATACGAAGGTTTCGAAAGTACCATTATCAATACCTAAAAGGAATACAACAGACTGATGTGCCACATGCATGAACACAAGCTACAATACTGTAGTACCACCAGCACAACTTACACAAAGTTGGGTGTGTAATTTGTGCTTCTATAGCATTTTATTTAAAACATCGGTTTCTATTTCTCTCACAAACTGTCATGAAGTTTTCAGACACACTAGAGTCCAGTGGCAAACACAACACTCGGCCACTCAAGAATCAATGTCAGGAGCCAAAAACCTATGCAAAAAGTTTCCGCTTTTGGCCAGTATAATCCCATCTCAATCCAACAAAAACCCACGAAGTGAAATTACATTTTATATCAATTAATGGCTTCTATTTGTTTCTATGGGTAACTAAAAACTGTTATCGATTGTAAAACCCGCGATTCAGCTCTCAGATTCACCCCATTTTCATCTTTTTCCCTCTCTATGTTTTTAATTTTCAGGTTATTTAACGGGTTCTCATATCTACACAAATACGATCATACGAAGGCTGAACAAACACATCAATTAACGAACCGAATCGAACACAGTACACGTCGAGCACAAATCCAAAAGACCCACAAAGCAACTATGGCTCAACAAACCTTAATCGAATCGATCGGGGCCTCATCGCGGATCCCCTTCTTCACGTACCCAGGAGGAGGGTACGGAAAACACCGAGACATTCGTGATACACCAGCAATCAACCAACACACAAGCAATTCAACAAGCTAATCCCCTTGATCTCCCTCTGTGAGAAAAATAAATTCGATTTTTCTCAAACCCTAGCTCGAACAAGGTCGCTCGGTCGCAATCGACTGCGGCTAGGGTTTTCGATCCTTGTTTCAGAACACAAATGTCCCGCGAAGACAAAAGGTTTGAGTGGAAAGGGAGGGAACCCGATCAAGGGTTAGGGTTTGGGAGGAGGGGGAAGAATCGCTCGAGAGCGTAGAGTTTTGGAACGGGAGAGAGACACAGAGCGGCCCCAGATCCAAATGACCAAGACTTATCCCAAAGAGGAATATTTATAGTAGGTATTGGTCTGGCTGGCCAACGCGTTTTGGACACAGAATATGAACGACGTTGTTGGGCGCATCCAAGGCATGTGTGTAGTGTGAAAGTAAGGGATCGTACTTGTCGAGCCCAGCCCAGTTTACTGCAGGAATATAAATTTAGCCCAGTCCAACTTTCAGGGCTGCTCTAAGCCACCATCAATAATTTAAAGACAAATTACATAAAATTACCTCATTATTAGGTCGGTCACAGTTTCATACCCCATTTTTAAAACATTTTAATGTCATACCTCATCTTACAAATTTGTTACAATTTCATACCTTCCGTCAGTTTGTCTTCTGTTAAATAGTGACAGGACTCAGTTAAAAAAATAATTAAATATTAAAAACTAAAAAATTAATTTAATTTAATTTTTTTTTGCATGGGGGACCCACCCTTCTCCCCCGCTCCCATCTTTCCCCAACCCAAAACCAGAACCACCCCAAACCCAGATCCCACCAGCTTTCGCCTTCTCCACTTCCAGCTTCTCGTATACTTCTGCCTTCGCCTCCTCCACTTCTAGCTTTTCCTCCCGCTCCTCCACTTCTAACTTCTCCTCTTGCTCTTCCAGCTTCTTCAACATCGTGACCGCATCCTTATTCGTGAGCAGGCGTATGATAGAGCAAATGCCACCGCGCTCTTATTCGCTCCCTTCGCCACCATGCACCAAATCGGCCCCTTATATAGCTTGTTATTTGTCACCGCCGGCAATGGCGGGTACTCCGACAAGGGCGTCTTCCCGTTCAGGTCAATCAGGTACACATGCGACTAGTTCGGGTATCGCAACCCGAAATTCCGCTCTATGTTGGGACACGGTTTGGTGTTCGCATTGCAGGTATGAGATTATACCAAATCTGTTTATCGGGTTAGCTGAGGATTTCGTTTCCAATGAGAAGGTACCGAATCAGAGTCTTCGGGTAAAAAGGGATGACGTTGGTGTGGACCCAATGGTCGGCGAACGTCTGATTGGAGGAGATGTTGTTGATGAGCTCGTTGGGGACCATGATGGAGACCTAGAGGTCGATGTTACGAAGGGCGGTGAGGATTTTGGGGTTGGCGTCGTAAAGCTTGACTCGCTTGGCCTTGAGAAACTAGATGAGCTTCACTAACTACAATGGTGGTGGGAGGTTGTTACCCAGCTGGCCGTAGTTCACACCCACCTTGGGGGCGAGCTCCATACCTGAAAAAATCAAAAGGGGTCAGAGAAAAATACCAAATGAACAAAACCCATGTCGCCATTTTTGGGATATGGGTTTGGGTTGGGGGAAGACGGGAGCAGGGAAGAAGGATGAGGGGGATAAGGGGTGGGCCCCCCATGCAAAAATAAAAATAAATTATTTTATTTTTTTTAGTTTTTTAGTTTTTAATAAATTTTTTAATATTTAATTAATTTTCTAATATTTGAGGTAGTTTTATGTAATTTACCCATAACTTAACCACTTAGTACTACGTCAGGCCAAACTCGAGTTTAAGTATTGAGCATACAGGATTTTGAACTGAAGTGTAAGATGTGGTAGGCTCATTGGTCTAGCGAACTAGCAGAACCCGCATGTATAAACTAAGCAAGATTAAGTACACTTAATTGGAGTTTAAGTATTGAGTATACGGAATTTTGAACTGGACTATAAGATGGTAGGCTCATTGGTCTAGCGAACTAGCATAACCGCATGCATTTTCTCAACCTTGGTATTACATCGAGTGATTAAATGAATGACGATCGCGAACATTTTTCATTATTCAATTGATCAACTACCAATTCAATGTATTTTCTCCTCAAAGAATCCTCGTCTATACGAAAATAGGTGTAACCTAGGAACATATTTTTCTTGTCATTGTCATATATTTTAAATCTCGGTCCTATATCTATTAATCACATGTTCAATGTTCTGTAATGTACAGTAAAATTAAATGGAATTATTTTATCGTTGTAAAAAGTCAGTTTAATGTTTTTTTAGGGTATGTATTAGAGAAATCCTCCTACGGTGGATCTTGAACTGGAACATCGTTTACAGATTCAACGATAGCCACAGGGTTGTAGATCAATACCGCAATATTTGGTATCAAACCAGCACAACAATTAGCAGCACATCTGCGAATACAGTGAACACATTCCCTTGAATTAACAAGGAAATGTCACAAACCAGTCGAATCAAGAACCGGTCAACTCTATCTAACAACTACTAAAACTGAAAAAGTACCTCTGAAAACTTGAATATGTGTATTTTCAATTTTTCATCCACTTATAATACAATGAAGTTTCTCTCCCAAAACCTTCTTCCCTCGTCATCGAAATTTTCTCTCAAAATTTTTCCGATCGTTATAGTTTTAGTCTTCTACCACAATGCTGCGGCTGTAAAACTACCAAACAACGAAAAGGTTCCGGCAGTGATTGTTTTCGGAGATTCGGTAGTGGATCCTGGAAACAACAACAATATTAGCACTATAGTCAAATGTAATTTCCCACCATATGGGAGAGACTTTATAGGACAAAGACCTTCTGGAAGGTTTAGCAATGGCAGAGTCCCCTCAGACATGATAGGTAAATCTAAGTACTGTCATTGTTTTTTTTTTTTTACTTTTTACTACTGGCTCAACCAAACTGTAAAAAAGATTCACTGTTCACAATTTTTTCAGCTGAATCAGTTGGAGTCAAGAAGATATTGCCAGCTTATCTGGATCCAAATCTGAAGATTCATGACTTACTTACTGGTGTAAGTTTTGCTTCAGGTGGCTCAGGATATGATCCTCTCACTCCTAAAATAGTGGTAAATACAGACATATACATAGACATAGACATATACATATACATATACATATACATCCCCATATATATATATAATATTTAGGGTCAGACTTGCTTTTTGTTTACTATGTCATACACATCCTTGATTTCTATTGATCTGTTTATGTCAGTCTGTCCTATCATTATCAGATCAAATAGACATGTTCAAAAATTATATAAGCAAGATTACGGTAGCAGTCGGAAAGGAGGGCGCTGCAACTATAGTATCGAAAAGCATATACATTGTGTGCACAGGAAGCGACGACATTGTGCATACCTATTATTTTACACCACTGAGGAGACCTCGGTATGACATTTCAGCATATACCGATCTCATGGTTGAATCAGCTTCAAGTTTCTTTCAGGTAAACATCGATCAATTGCAATTCGCCAATGTCAGCGCTAAAAAAAAAAATAAATGGTTTGGTGCCCATTCATTACCACTATTATAGCCATACACTCAAGATCCATCCACATTTCAGACCTAGCTAGACATAGCCAAGTTTGTTAGAGCAGTCTGCTCCTCCTGCACCCTAGTTTGAATCCGCTTCCCATAATTAGATAAGACTAGAATATCGCTCGAACAAAATAACACAGCTTTCATTAGAACTAGCCACCATAGAAGAGCAACAATTGTCCATCTGCCGCATAATGTCGGTATCTCAATTTCCATAGATGAGCTCACACATGAATATCATCACTATTGGAATGAGGTTCCCACAAGTAACCTAAATGAATCTTTCATTATTCAATCTTGGGTTACAAGTAATTGGGATTGTATGCTCTGAGTTGTACCAGATAGGGTTGAGGTGTGACATATTACTTATTACTTTTTTTATAAATGGGAATGCAGGAACTATATGAACTGGGAGCAAGAAGAATCGGAGTAGTAAATCTGCCGCCAATCGGGTGTTTGCCGTCGCAGAGAACACTGGGTGGAGGCAGAGAAAGAGGGTGCTCAGAGACTACCAACCAAGCAGCAAGCCTCTTCAACTCCAAGCTCTTGCCCAAAATAGATGCCTTCAATACGAGGCTTCCAGAAGCAAGGCTTGTCTACCTTGATATCTATAACACAGTGCTTTCCCTCATCCAAAACCCTACTCAATTTGGTAAATTTTTGAAATAGGTCAATTTCGTATATGTAAGTTATCGGTAAAGTTCTCTTACCAGGTAAAATATTTATGCTGTCAGACCATAAATCTATGACTGCATATTCTGGCACGAATCGACCAGATTAGTAGTGCAAATTCAGAGTTTGACAAGAGAACACTTTCACTTTTTTAAAGTTATATTATCATCATAGTCTTGAAAACCAAATGCCCCAATGCATATTAATCATAATGTTGATGTATACAACGATTTATATGTGGGTTCAGGATTTGAAGTGATGGATCAAGGATGTTGTGGAACAGGAAATATTGAGGTTAGCATTCTGTGTACTCGTTACTCTCCGGGAACCTGCAACGATTCATCAAAATACATATTCTGGGACAGCTACCATCCTTCAGAGAAGGGATATGAAGTAATAATCCCTCTGGTTTTCGATTCGCAAGTTCATAAATTCTTCTGAGGAATCTCACTCTCTCTCTCTTTCAAGTGTCGGCAATCAATAAATTTCCTTTTAGTTTTGGTGTATTTTCTTTCAGAAATTTGAGCCTCAATTTGTTAATAGTCTAGTGAAATTTATCGAGATTTTGCATTCAGTTGACGTGACAATTATTGACTGAAGCTGATATTTAACTTACCCTACCCCTCACTTATGCAAATGCTTAAACAGACTTATCAAAACTTGAACATGCAGTGTATTTACATAATGTACTCTCTCCCAAAAACTTCTTCCTTCATCTAAATCGTCTCTCAAATTTATTTCAGTTGTTATAGCTTTGTTCTTCTACGGCAATGCTGCTGCTGTAGAACTGCCGAACAACGAAAAGATTCTGGCAGTGATTGTTTTCGGACATTCAATAGTTGATCCTGGAAGCAACAACATTGGCACTGTAGTCAAATGCACTTTCCCAACTTATGGGAGGGACTTTGTAGGAAGAAGGCCTACTGGAAGGTTTAGCAATGTTAGAGTTCCCTCACACAGTCAGACTTGATAGGTGATCTAACACTGACAAATTTTAAGTACTTTATCTGAGTAGTGAGATATTTATGCATTCACACTAGTGTTGTTGTTCCGTATTTTTTATAATGCGTTAAAAACTATCCTAATTTACGAGGAGGGGGTTAATTCTTTACGAATTTTTAGCTGAATCAGTCGGAGTGAAGAAGATTTTGCCAGCTTATCTGGATCCAAGTCTGAAGGTTCGAGACCTACTTACCGGTGTAAGTGTTGCCTCGGTTGGCTTATAAGTAACATCTTCATAATCATTTGTTAAGGATCTAGCTTAGAAACTCTTTTGCCCGTTTTAGGGTCAAAACTTAATGTTCCATGATGAACCACCACGACCACAGGAAATAATCGAGATGTAGAGATGTTGGAGCCAAAATCTGCCTGATTTGCCTTAATTTTGGTTCGAGTTCAGGCCTTTTGAGTCTCTAGTTTATTTGATAGACATGATCATGTGACTTAATTCTGTTCTATTCGGCCCCATTTTTCTCGGTAAAATATTGCCTAATTTGGAGAGTGCCAAAAAGAAAAAATTCTATCAGGAATACTCACCGTCATCCATGAAGGAGGTAAGCTTCTTTGTTGCTACATGTTTCCTTCTCTCTTTAGAGGACGAAAGGCTGGCTGCTAATTTCAGACGCTACATGAAGGAGGCCAGCCTTTCGTTGTAGTCTTGAACATTCTGAATATGAATCAACAAGATCAATAGTCTAAATTCACAATTTTGTCATCGTCAAAGTCTCGGAAAAAAGAATTCCACAATGCATATTAATCACAATGTTGATACAATGGTTTTATATATGAATTCAGGATTTGAAGTGATGAATCAAGGATGCTGTGGGACAGGAACTCTGAGGTTAGTATTCTGTGTACACGTTACTCTCCGGGAACCTGATTGAAAAACATATTTTGGGACAGCTACCGTCCTTCAGAGAAGGGATATGAAATTATCACCCGTATGGTTCTCGATTTGCAAGTTCATAAATTCTTCTGAAGCCGCTCTTTCTTTCAAGTATCAGCAATCAATAAATTTCCAAGCCAATTTTGGTGTATTTCTCTCTCAGAAGTTTGAGTTTCTATTTGTTACAAATTGCTGCCACTTTTTGGCGCAACCTTTATCATCACATTCAGGCAGATTCAACCCCTAAATCTGTTCCCTTGCTACGGATAGCATAAAAACTCTCCTTGATAAAAAAAAATAACGTCTTCACAATCTTTGCGTTCATTATCCAGCTTAGAACTACTAAGCGCTTCCGAATCAACCCCTAAACAAAAAAGGGGATTCGAATATGCAAACAAATCACACACTTGCCCTATAATTATTGAACTTTGTTCGGCAACCTAAGATACATCATTAATTAGTACCTTTTGAAAACATACAGATGGATGCAAAACAGTGCAACACTAAGCGCTGATGGAGAAATGCAGTTGGATATTTACTGTTTTAAAAAGTGATTAAGCAGTTGATATATTTAATAACATCCCCTACAGCACTAATTACCAAATCAAATACATGATGCAACATTATCAAGGTGAATTAGATGATTTCTTAGCACAATTGAAGGGAAATAGTAAAAACAAGCAACACCATTTTTCTTGTTCTGATTTATGTAGGCACAGCAGCCTTGAATATTTTTTTTGCAGAAGACGCCTTTCTCAACACCAAAGAATTATTGAACTAACTAGCTATTATTCTAGTGATATTTCTCGGGATATCACTTTCGAATTCCCTGGTTGGTATTGCAGTACCTAGAGGAAAATTTTCATCTTGCATCAGATGATGAAACAACTATATTGACTGGAGTTAATATCTAACTCACCTTATTAATATGTCCCCTTAGGGCTTAGGTAAATTTCGAACTACATTGATTAAACCAAACACTATCTAACAACTACTAAAACTTAAAAGGACAACTTTTGAGCCAATTATTTAAAAGCACCTATGAAAACTTGAATATGCACATTCCAGTGTGTAGTTTCAATTTTCATCCACTAAAAATACAATGAAGTTTCTCTCCCAAAAACTTCTTCCCTTGTCATCGGAATGTTCTCAAAAAAAAAAATTTCTGATCGTTATAGTTTTATTCTTCTACCGCAATGTGGCTGCTGTAAAACTACCGAACAACGAAAAGATTCCTGCAGTGATTGTTTTCGGAGATTCAGTAGTGGATTCTGGAAACAACAACAATATTAGCACTGTAGTCAAATGTAATTTCCCACCATATGGGAGGGACTTTGTAGGACAAAGACCTACCGGAAGATTTAGCAATGGCAGAGTCCCCTCAGACTTGATAGGTAAATCCAAGTACTGTCATTGTTTTTTAACTTTTTACTACTGGCTCAACCAAACTGTAAAAAAGAGTAAACGTTCACAATTTTTTCAGCTGAATCAGTTGGAGTAAAGAAGATATTGCCAGCTTATCTGGATCCAAATCTGAAGATTCACGACTTGCTTACTGGTGTAAGTTTTGCCTCAGGTGGCTCAGGATATGATCCTCTCACTCCCAAAATAGTGGTAAATACAAACATATACATACATATATATATATATATATTGTGGGTCGCGCCTCACCGCAGGCACTGATATACTTATCAGTCTTGTTTTCTGTTTACCATTTCATACACATCCTTACTTTCTGTTAATTCTGTTTCTGTCAGTCTGTCCTATCATTATCAGATCAAATAGACATGTTCAAAACTTATATAAACAAGATTACTGCAGCAGTCGGAAAGGAAAGCGCTGCAACTATGGTATCGAAAAGCATATACATAGTGTGCACAGGAAGCAATGACATTGCGAATACTTATTTTTCGACACCACTGAGGAGACCTCGGTATGACATTTCAGCATATACCGATCTCATGGTTGAATCAGCTTCAAGTTTCTTTCAGGTAAACATCAAACAATTGCATTTGCCAATGTCCCCGCTAAGTTTGGTGCTCCTTCATTACTGCTATTGTAGCCAGAAACTGCTAAATTTGCAATATCGTGCATCCTGAGATACATATAAACTTAAGATCCATCAGAATTTCAGACCTAGCTAGACGTAGTCAAGTTTGTAAGAGCAGTTTACTCGCCCTTCTGTTTCATGTTTGAATCCCCCTTCCCGTAGTGTAGATTAAGCTAGAATATCGCTCAAACAAAATTATACAACTTTCTTCAGAACTAGCCACCATAGAACAGCAACAATTGTCCATCTTCCGCATATGTCAGTGTCCCAATTTCCATAGATGAGCTCACACATGCATATCATCACTACTGGAATGAGGTTCCCACAGGTAACCTAAATGAATCTTTCTTTCTTGAATCTTGGGGACCAAGTAATTGAAATTGTATGAAGAGGATGCTCTGAGTTGTATCAGGGTTGAAGTGTGACATCTGTCGTAGTACTTTGCTATTTATATTAATATGGGAAAAAAATTGGGGCTGTAGGAACTATATGGACTGGGAGCAAGAAGAATCGGAGTAGTAAGTCTGCCGCCACTCGGATGTTTGCCGTCGCAGAGAACACTGCGTGGAGGCAGAGACAGAGGGTGCTCAGAGACTTTCAACCAAGCAGCAAGCCTCTTCAACTCCAAGCTCTTGTCCGAAATAGATGCCTTCAATACGAGGCTTCCAGAAGCAAGGCTTGTCTACCTTGATGTCTATAACGCATTGCTTTCCCTCATCCGAAACCCTACTCAATATGGTAAATTTCTGAAATAGGACAATTTCATGTATGCTACCAGTTAAATATTTATGTTGCTGAACCATAAATCTAATGGCGGAGCTAAGAATTTTTTACCGGGTGGGCTAGCTTAAAAATTTTAATTTTTATAAATAAAGAAACTTGATACCGTGTTTTTCGTTGTATCAGCTAGCTTTAAAAAAATTCACAAGGTGAGCCAAAATTTTTTGTAATTAAATACATACGTGTTAAAATTCAAACAAATCCAAACTTATACATGGACAAGAAGCGATGAAAAAAAGGATGTAAGAAAAAGAAATGGTATGTAAACTGTATTATATAATTTTATATGGTTAAATCTAAGAGATTCGGACTAATGACTAAATATGGTGGGTGAAAATCAATCAATCTAGACCTCATGTCCTGACACGAATCAAATAGATTACTTGCGCAAATTTAGAGTCTGACAAGAGAACACCTTCACTTTTTTTTTAAGTTATATCGTCATCATAGTGTCTTGAAAACCAAATGCCACAATGCATATTAATCATAATGTTGATATATACAATGATTTATATGTGAATTCAGGATTTGAAGTGATGGATCAAGGGTGCTGTGGAACAGGAAATATTGAGGTTAGCATTCTGTGTACTCGTTACTCTCCGGGAACCTGCAACGATGCATCAAAATACATATTCTGGGACAGTTACCATCCTTCGGAGAAGGGATATGAAGTAATAACCCCTATGGTTTTCGATTCGCAAGTTCATAAATTCTTCTGAGGCCTCTCTCTCTTTCAAGTATCAGCAATCAATAAATTTCCATGACAGTTTTGGTGTATTTCTCTTTCAGAA